TTAATTTAATAGAGTGATGAATGGAAGCACAAAAGTGTTTCTCCCACCCTTGACGTTCGAACCGTCAAATAACCGTACGCCATTCAAGGCCATTATCTTGAATATGTATACACGTACGTGTGTATATATAAATATTCATCTTGACTAATAAAAAACAAGATTATAATTGTCATTTCAGAAAACTTCTTAATATGTATGAAAAACCTAAGACAAATGGAAAAGATGCCGTATCTTTTTTAGTTTAAGGAGATATGACGATACTTGATGTTTAAGTACATTTGAGTATTTTGACATTACATGAATTTGGGTTAAGTGAATATGGTAGCTGTAGGAGAGTCATTTAGCATCATCCAGTTAACTCAACTCGAACCAAAAATAAATCAAAACTCCGAAATATCTTATCAGGCTCGTTCCAATAAAAAGGACCGTTTAATGTTGAACGAGTTCTCGGAACACATAAATAATAGATCAAAATCGATCTAAGAGAAAATGGAAGGATTGATTCGAATATACACACAATATTGCTCAATATTGAAAAGGAGAAAGAAAAGAAAATCAAGATCGAAAAATATAGAAGAAAAGCATATTCGAAGTCCTAAGAAAAAAAAGTATAAATAGGAGGGAGCAACAGGAAAGAGATCCACAATTTGTGCATAGGCAGGATACAACATATAATATATAAAAACATGCTCCTTCAAAATGGAGCGTCGTATGTGACCCCAATCTTTTACTAACAAATCTTGGAAATGGCGTCAGGAAGATTGGTTTGACTCCATAATCAAAATTTTGTTTTAGGGTTTATATGACTATTTTAATTATGTGTCCCAATAAGAAGAAAGAAGATTTGCTTTCCAAACACATATAGATATGATTTGATAAATCGAAACAGTAGTACACGGTCTCAAAGATTAATTCACACATCTAAGTATGTTTTTAATTGCTAATTTGTAGAAATTTTGTCAATTTGTAAATAAAGAAGTAGTTGATACGGTCTGGCTCATGTCAGTGTGTTTGTGTCAGTGTTAAAGAAACAATCTCAAAGTCTACGGATCCGAAAAGTCTTCTTATTTTCAGCATCTATATAGATCGCAATATGTTTATCTGTGTAAACTCAAACCAAAAAAAAACAAAAAATGGAGGAACTCTTTAATTAGTTTGTTTTCTTTAAAAGATTACTTCATTCGATTAAATTCGCTCCTGATTGACCACGGAAAAGGTTTTTTTTTTTTTACTTTTATTTTTCTTATTAATTTTCACCATTTTCTCTTATTTTCTTTCCTTTTTTAAAAATATCTTCACATTTTTTTTATCAAAAACCTGCTTTTTATGTAAAAGAATGACTGATATATAGTCATGAAAAAGCCAAAAAAAAAAAAAAAGAGAGTAGAAGACACATAACTATGAACTTTTCTTTCTTTAGTCCTAATTTTTGGTAATCATACATTTGCATGTTGTTCTTCACCGTTTTACTTAAAATTAGTTTGATTACTAATTGGCAATGTAATATCTTAGATAATAGGAACAAGAAGAAGAAAAAATGGGACGAGGTTCTCTCAGGAAATTGATAGGAGGAGGAGCGATGGCCTCAGACTCAGATAGAGACGTTTTCAGCATCTTTGGCCCCTTCCATCTTACATCTATTGATTGGTAAACCAACTTTTAAAAAATGGTTTTAAATTTACTATTGATTGAGGTGGTATATGAAACGAGTTTGAAAATTGATGTAGGAAATAATAAATTAGGGAACTTTTTTTTTCTGGCTCAAACAAAACTTTTCAATAACCAAACTATATAACTTAAAGCGTTACAAAGTTATATTTTTTTTTATGATAGACGCTGGAAGTTTTTATTTTTGCTATATGAATTCATGTGCCGTGCAGGAGTTTCTTAGTAAAAGTTGACCTTTGGAAATCGAATATCGATACTTAATTACTCATTTAAAATTAAAAATGATATCCAATATATTATCTAAAATAATTGGTTTCTATTTCTTTAATAGGACCAATTCGTACCATCGAACGTCAGTAGCATCAAGTTTGGTAAATGGAGTGTACACAATGGAACGGGACAAGCAAGAGAAACGGGTAGGTTCCGAATCACGAGCCATGCCCTGGTGGGATTTTTTCAACTTCTCTTTAGTCGAAACCTTGATCGACGACTACGACGGCTCCATATACGGTGCTGTTTTTGAATACAAGCTCTCCAACCTTAGCCAAAATAACTCTCATGTGAAAGCACCTCCACGTTATGTGATTGCATTCCGCGGCACGATCCTAGAGTCAGAAACTTGGATGACTGATGTGAAACATAACCTCAAATTCAGCTTCAACACCCTCCATGAAGGCGGTAGGTCTTTGCAGGCCATACGAGTAATACGCAATATGGTGGAAAAACACAACCATTCAGCTATATGGCTCGCTGGACACTCTTTGGGAGCCGCCCTAGCGTTGTTGGCTGGAAAGACCATGACAAGTTTTGGATTCCTCCTCGAAAGTTACATATTCAACCCACCCATCTCGTGTATTCCTCTAGAGCAGTTACCTGGGGGAAAAAAGATTAAAGGTGTGTTTCAATTCACCAAGACTGTCGTCAAAGCCACCGTAGCCATGGTCTTAACCGATCTACAGGTAAATAAATAATCTTTATAAAAAGTTAAAAATGTTTGATCAACTTAAGAAAAGTAGTTTTCATAATTAATTAGGATGGTTCATTCATTAATTAAGACTCATCGTTGTATTAATCAAGTGTCAATAGCTTAATTGGTAAAGTATTTTAAGCAAAGTTTAATTTAGAGGTTGTTGGTTCGAGTGACACTAGAAGGATACTATAGTATATGCTCTTGTCCCCGGCTTTAGAGAAGTACGGACCAGAACCTCTTATCGTGTTAGTGAAAGGCTAAAATATCAAGTTTCATCCGCTTGCGATTCCATGTTGATTGAGTTTTTAAAAATATATAATACTAGTTTCAAGTTGATTTTCTTACAAATGAAACCGTGTTTGTCTTAAATTATTACAGGTTCAAGAAGACGATCCAAAAACAGCATCATGGATACCTTATATATATGTGAACCCAGCAGATCCAATATGTGCGGGATACATCGATTACTTCAAACACAAAACCTTCATGTCTAAGATCGGTGCAAGCAAAATCGAGAAAGCCGGCGCTGGAAAGTCAGTTAGGAGTCTATTGATGGGAAAATCATCATCATCGGATTTGTCAACGGAACCTCTTCACATTCTTCCATCAGCAGATATGATTGTAAACAAGAACAAACCGACTAAGTCTATGACAGCTCATGGACTTCATCAATGGTGGGAGCGAGACTCGGCCATGAGGGAAAATTGGGAAAGCTGTTGCATTAGGCCTTACTATGAAGACAAATTGCAGCAACTGACCATACAATAAACAATAAAAATGGATGTCGCATTTGGTTTGGTTATATGGCTTTATGCCTTTTATATCTTCCATTTCGTGTTTGCCTCTATGTCCCCATGTTTTATAACTTTTTCCCTTTATATTGCTTCTTTTAGTTTTTTTTTTTTGTTTGGTTTGTTGTCCATGTAATTGTTTATAATAATTTACTTCAAACTAGTTTTATGTTTTTTTGGGTAAAAGAAACCACTTTTAAGTTTTAACAAAGATAATATATAACTGAAATATATTGTTATATAGTACCGTATGATTAATTAATTAAAACATACCATAACTAACAAAAATATCAGTGATTAATTAAAACCATACCATTTATATATTTAAAATATATTAATCAAAGAATTGACCATATTTAAATAATTAGTTTTAGGCCTCTAATATACTAAGCCGGTCTTGGTGAGATCCTATGTTTACGTGAGCATGTTTTGTACCTCTTCCAATCATTTTGCTGTCAAAAAAAATTCTATAAACTTAATAAATCAACGTCTAAAACAAATTTCTTATTTTTATCAAAAAACATTCTATAAAAATATGTAAAAATTCAGAATATCTGTATGTAAATTTTGTCATAAATATTTTTTTAATTATTTAATTAAAGGTGTGTTTCAACTCTTCAAGACTGTCCTCAAAGCCACCGTAGCCATGGCCTTAACCGATCAACAGGTAAATAAATAATCTTTATAAAAAATCAAACTGATCTACTTAAGAATCAATATAACTGGTTTAATTAACTATGGTGGTTAAGTTATTAAGAACTCATCTTGTACGTGAGAGGCTAAAATATCAAGTTATATCCACTCTTGTCATTTTTTGTTGATTTGAGTTTCTTAACAATATATAATAAGTACTAGTTCAAAGTTTGTTAGAATATATTATATCTCACATCGAGACTTTGATAATTTGTGGGATAATATATAAGTATGAGGCAAACAACCAAACTTCCACTCTTGAGGCAGCTTTTGGGTGTGAGTTACGCTTGTTGATTTTCTTACAAATAACTGTGTATATAATTTATTACAGGTTCAAGAAGACGATCCAAACAAAGCATCATGGATACCTTATTTATATGTGAACCCAGCCGATCCAATATGTGCAGGATACATTGATTACTTAAAACACAAAAAAATTCATGTCTAAGATCGGTGCAAGCAAAATCGAGAAAGCCGGTTCTGGAAAGTCAGTTAGGGTACATGCTAAAGGCTCATACAGTTATTGTTTTAGGATCATACAGTTTGAGGAAACAAGTTCAAAAATAGGAGGTCACACGATAGGGAACAGGCTAAAGGCTCATACAATTTACATAGTAGTGGGATGTGGATACCTCTATGCATTAGTCCAAAAACATTCTAAATTCGAGTACAGTGTAGTGGTCCTTCGAGAAGAAGTTCAGTCTAAAGCATTTCGTTGCATTTCTACCGGAGCTGACTGGATCAGCCGATAGGAAAGTAAAGTAGAAAAACTTATATACTGAGCTAAATATATGACTATTTTAATCAGTTTGATTGTGTCCCAATGGAGACATAAGGTTTCTTTTCCTTTATATATGATTTCAAAAATCGAAACAGTAGTACCCGTTCTCAATAAGATTGATTCAGACTTTTAAGTATGTTTTTAATTTGCTAATTTGTATAAATTTTGTCAATTTGTAAATAAAGAAGTAGTTGATACGGTCTGGCTCGTGTCAGTGTGCTTGTGTCAGTGTTGAAGGGGTAATCTCTAAGTCTCCGGATCCAAAAAGTCTTCTTATTTTTAGCATATATATTAACAGCAAGATGCTTTTTTCTGTGTAACACTAACAACAACTCATGACTTCTTCTTTTGTTGAACTCTTAAATTTCAAAAAAAAAAAAAAAAAAACAGCAGAAGAACTCCTTTAGTTTGTTTTCTTTAAAAGAACTCTTAAGCTACTGCATCAGATTCGATAAAATTCGATTCTGATTGATCTGTAAGACCACGGAAAAGGGTAAACGTTTTACTTTTAGTTTTCTTATTTTCACCATTTTCTGTTATTTTCTTTCCTTCTAAAAAGAAATCTCTACAATGTTTTTAGAATCTGTCGTTTAAAAACACATAAATATCAGCTTTTCCTTTCTTTTGTTTTAATTATTGGCAATCAGAGATCTTGATTAGTTTACACAACATGCATTTAGTAGAAAGGTTTCGCAGTGGCCAAAAAGATGCAACCATTGCAATTGTTTTTATTCTGTAGTTTACATTTTCTCCATTTTTATTTAGTCTCGTGCAACGATTTTCTTTCGGCAGTTATCCCTCGTTATCCTCATATTGCCAAATAAATGTATTACTAAGTGTATATGTGAAGATAATATAGGTAATAACATGTATAGACCAACATTTGTAGTACATTTGCATATTGTTCTTCACCATTTCACGTTAAATCAATTTGATTACTAATTTGGCAATAATGTAATAATATCTTAGATTATAGGAACAAGAAGAGGAAGAAGAAATGGGACGAGGTTCTCTCAGACAAATAATGGGAGGAGGAGTGGTGGCCTTAGACTCAGATAGAGACATTTTCAGCATCTCTGGCCCCTTCCATCTTACATCTATTGATTGGTAACATTTTATTTAATATGCTTCTTTTATTGTTTTTTTTTTTTTTTTCTTGTAACCGTGCATAAAGCAAATGTTGAAAATTAAAGGCGTCTGTAGGAAATAAATTATGGACTGTCTGTACGTTTAACTGGGATCATTCTGTAATTTAAACCTCTACCTAATTTTCTCTGAATTTACTATAAACTTTCGAATTCCACCCTCTCTATTAAATTCATCCCAAATAAGCAAATTTAATTAATCTCGTCAATTGCAATTTAAAATCTTTAAACGGCGTTTACTGTTCCGTGATTACACTAACCTGATTTAATAAATTGACCCGACAACATGCGTGAAAATTAGAGGCTAAAAATACAGAACTATCTAAGGCTTTCCATGAATTATAGAACTTCTTTCTTTCTTTCTTTTTTTGGCTCAAACACAACTTTTCAACAACCAAATTATAAAACTTAAAGCGTTACGAAGTTTTTTTTTTATGATAGACGATGGAAGGTTTTAATTAAAACTCTATGAGATCATGTGCGGTGAGGAGGAGTTTCTTAGTTAAAGTTGATCTCTGAAGATCCATATTGATATCGCCTACATATTTAAAATTAAAATCAATATCCAATATTTATCCGAATTCTAAGAATAATTTGTTTTTTTTTTTTATAGGAACAATTCGTACCATCGGACCTCAGTAGCATCAAGTTTGGTAAATGGAGTGTACATATTGGAACGGGACAGGCAAGAGAGACGGGTAGGTTCCGGATCACTAGCCATGCCCTGGTGGGATTTCTTCAACTTCTCTTTAGTCGAAACCTTGATCGACGACTACGACGGCTCCATATATGGTGCCGTTTTCGAATATAAGCTCTCCAACTTTTGCCAAAATACCCCTCACGTGAAAGTACCTCCACGTTATGTGATTGCGTTCCGCGGCACAATCCTAGATTCAGAAACTTGGATGTCTGATGTGAAACTCAACTTCAAAATCAGCTTTAATACCCTCTATCGTGGCAGTAGGTCTATGCACGCCATACGAGCAATCCGCAATGTGGTGGACAACCACAACCATTCAGCTATCTGGCTTGCTGGACACTCTTTGGGAGCCGCCCTAGTGTTGTTGGCTGGAAAGACCATGACAAGCTTGGGATATCTCCTCGAAAGTTACATATTCAACCCACCCATCTCGTCTATTCCTCTAGAACAGCTACCTGGGGGAGATATGCTTAAAGAAATGTTTCAAATCACCAAGAGTGTCGTCAAAGCTACCGTAGCCATTGCCTTAACCGATCTACAGGTAAATAAATAATCTTTATACAAAATTAAAAATGTTTGCTCTACTTAATTGACTGAGTTTTTAAAAATTATATACTAGCTACTATTTTCAAAGTTGATTGTCTTAAATTATTATAGGTTCAAGAAGAGGATCCAAAAACTGCATCATGGATACCTTATTTATATGTGAATCCAGCAGATCCAATTTGTGCAGGATTCATCGATTACTTCAAACACAAAACCTTCATGTCCAAGATCGGTGCAAGCAAAATCGAGAAAGCTGGTACTGGAAAGTCAGTTAGGAGTTTATTGGTGGGAATTACTAAAGGAAAATCATCATCGTCAGATTTGTCAACGGAACCTCTTCACCTTCTTCCATCAGCTAGCAGATATGATTGTAAACAAGAACAAACCTACTCCGTCTATGACAGCTCATGGACTTCATCAGTGGTGGGAGCGAGACTCTACCCTGAGGGAAAATTGGGAAAGCTGCTGCATTAGACCCAAGTCTAAAGGCAAATTGCACCAATTGACCATACAATAAACAATAAAAATGATGGTCACATTTCGTTTGGTTAAATGGCTTTATGCCTTTTACATCTGTTCAGGTGATCAGTTTCCACTTCTTCTAATTTCGTGTTTGTCTCTATGTTCCCATGTTTTATACCGTTTGCCCTTTGTATTGCTACTTAAAGTTCTTTTTTTGTTGTTTGATTTTTCTTTGCCATGTAATTGTTTGGGCTATGATAATTTACTTAAAACTACTATAATGTTTTTTCTTTTGTAAAGTAAACTACTTTTAACAAAGATAATATATAACTGAAATATAATGTTATAACCGTATGATTCATTAATTAAAACATATCATAATTAACAAAATTTAAGTGATTAATTAAAACCATACCATATATGATATTTAAAATATATTAATAAAAGAATTGACCATATTTAAATAATCAGTTTTAGGCCTCTCATATAAATTAAGCCGGTCTTGGTGAGATCCTACGTTTACGTGAGCATGTTTTTTGTACCTCTTCCAATCATTTTTGCTTCCAAAAAAAAAAAAAAAAAACCAATTTCTGTAAGATAATTATAAAGCAACTTCTAAAACAACTTTATTTTTGTATCAAAAATTTTTTTCTATAAACATTTAATCAAAAGTTAGAATATATATATATATATGTGTGTGTGTGTGTGTAAATTTTGTCATAGTATTTTTAAATTATTTAAAAATATGTTCATCATCTTTTTTTTTTCAATTTTGTAGAGGAATTGTTCTATAATTCGTCATAATAAGAGGTATATTGAGGAGATTAAAAGAAAGGGTACTAAGGAGTGTAGGATCCATATATTTAAATATTTTTTTAAAAATACTTGTAAATGATAAAAACATTTGAGAGTAATACATTTCTCCTTATTTTTTTCCTTAAGAGAAGTCCAACAATTAAAACTAAAATATATTTTTCTTGCAGAATATTTTTATTGACAATTTGTAAATAAAGTAATTGTTGATACACTTTTGCACGTTTCAGTGTTAAAGAGATGGTCCCATTAGGCAATTAATGTCTCCAGATCCATAAAACTTCAATACCCACAAGAAGAAAAGCCATCTAGCTAATCTGTAGAAAACTATATAATTCCCTAGTTTCTTTCACCGGAATCATTTTCAGATTGGATTCATTCTGATACAACTTTGCGGCAAAAAAGGGTATGTTGTTTTCTCTTTTCTTAATTGATTTTCCGTTTTCTATTTCTTTTTATAGCGTTACTAAAACAAATTTTCACCAATTTTGTTGGAGTTCTTTTTTGTCTTTTCCTCATTTTTCTGCATTCATGCATCCAATAAAGTGGTTGATGATGATAAATTCAAAAACAATTGATGATGTTTCTCTACAATCTGTTTTAGATGATAAGGTAGAGAAAACATGGAAGAAGAAGATGATGAAGTTATGGTGAAAGAGGGGATAATGGCCTCTCAAAGAGAAATCTTTAGCATTTCTGGTCCTATCCATTTAACTTCCATTGATTGGTATATTTTCTATTTCATCTCTTCCATTTTCAATCACATATCTTCTTGCAAAAACCATTTTACAAAAAAAAAAAAAAAAACTCATCACCTATTTTTGCTAAGTCAAAGAGTTTAGCCATAGTCAACTCTATAATTCTCTAATCGCTCATCTTTCTACAACAAGTTGCATTATAATATTACATTCAAACAAACAAAAAACTAAAAGTCAACTTTGTGTCTTATGATAGGAATAATTCTTACCATAGAACCTCGGTGGCATCATGTTTGGTACAAGCAGTGTACACATTGGAACGAGACAGACAACAAAACAGGATTGGTCTAAAGTCACAAGCCAATCATTGGTGGGAGTTTTTCAACTTCACTTTAGCCGAAACCCTAGTCGACGACTCAGACGGATCCATATACGGCGCCGTTTTCGAATACAAACATTTCTTCTCCTACAATTACCATAATACCCCTCACTTGAAACCCCCTCCTCGTCACGTGATCGCTTTCCGTGGCACGATCTTGAAACGGCACTCTCGGTCACGTGACCTTAGGCTAGACCTACGTTGCATCCGAGACAGTCTCCACGACAGCACTAGGTTCGTGCATGCGGTTCAGGTGATTCAAAGTGCGGTGGCTAAAACTGGTAATACAGCTGTGTGGCTTGCCGGACATTCTCTTGGTGCTGCCGTGGCTTTGCTTGCCGGGAAGATTATGACGAGGTCTGGTTTTCCTCTTGAGAGTTATCTATTCAATCCTCCTTTCTCGTCGATTCCGATAGAGAAGATACTGAAGAGTGAGAAGCTTAAACATGGAGTTCGATTCGCCGGAAGTCTTGTTAAAGCAGGAGTAGCCATCGCCGTCAAGGGTCGCCACCATAATAAGGTACGTACTCATCCATTTAATAATATTTTTCGTCGTTTTTATAATTTCAAAATAAACTATGCTTTTCAACCAAAATTCAAATTCTATATCCCTATAATTTGGCAACATTTTGTAATATTAACTAAGTTTCTATGGGAAATTGCAATGGTTGCTCTACTATGAGATTATTGGTTAATTCGAACCTTACAAGACATTGAAATTAAATTTATTCACAGGGTCAAGAAGACGATTCGTTTATGAAGTTAGCATCATGGATACCATATTTGTATGTGAATCCGTTAGATACAATATGCTCAGAATACATTGGTTACTTCAAGCACAGAAACAAAATGTTTGAGATTGGAGCCGGTAAAATTGAAAGAATTGCTACAAGGAACTCACTTAGGAGTCTGTTGTCAGGAGGAGGAGGAGGAGGTTCGTCTTCAGATTCTTGTTCGGAGCCTCTTCATCTTTTACCATCGGCGTATATGACGATAAACACTAGCAAATCGCCGAATTTTAAGAGAGCTCATGGGATTCATCAATGGTGGGATCCCATGTTTAATGCTGAATATGTTTTGCATCAGTTTAATCACTGACCTCTTCTACTTTCGTTGCTTCAAATGCTTTGAAACCTTTTTAATTTCTTCTATTTTGTTTATAACTGTAATTTGTGAATGATCAAATTTGCGCAGTGGTTTTGATGAAAAATATAAGTGATATAGGGTCCAAATAATATACATGTATGAGTTTGCATAACACAAAAGACTATTATAATCCAATCATCATATTCATTATCAAACCACTGTTTCCAAAAGCTAAGGATTAGTTCAAAGACAGTGACACTTATTTATAGTTACGGACACTGGATATACATCTGTTGAACAATCACAAACATAGATTGGGGTGAAGGAACGATAACGATAACGATATTTTTCAGTTCCAAGCATACTGGTCGAGCCGGTTGTCCATGATGGCAGAGACGGTGCTGATAAACTCATCTTCGGTTGTCTCTGTGGGCATTATGGCTTCTGCATCATGTATGATTTGTTCGATCATAGATTCTTCCTTGAGTGTTTCTCTGCACATTATGCTTCCGATGGTAAAAGGTGTGAGACCCTTTGCAGAACCTTTCTTTAGAAGCATGGTTGAAATACGGAGGACACGGGCGCATGAAGGCGGGATCTCCCAACCATGGAATTTCAGAAGTTCGATGTCTTGCTCGGGGTCCAAGGATTTGATGTATTCCACTGTCTCTGAAGAGTATGGCTCTTTTGCTTGAGGCCAGTATAGCCATTCGAATGTGCAATCTTCAAACTGCACAAGAACAAATAAGGTGTTATGAAATTAAGAAAGCAAGGTGCCACTACCGAAGATCCTTGTGTTTGTTTTGTATATAGTAGAGTCATTTTACCTTATTGGGAAAGCAATAGCCGTGGTCTATTGGAGTAAGCACCATCTGACCATCTTTTCCGTCTCGGCTAACCAAAATGTTGCCAGCATGGCGATCAGCATTAGCCAGCCTTATGTCTAGCACCGATATCTTGTGAACCTGTTCAACAGGGAATACTCGGTAGCCCATATCTTCACAACTTCCAACATTACTCACAAACATCTGCAGTGAACCGATCTTTATGTTCTCAGGAGCGAAACTGTAACCATTGGGATGGTTGAAATCCTTGTGCAAGCATTTGACCATTGTTGTTGGCGGAACTCCAGCGAAACCAGTTTGGTCATGAGGAAAAGTTCGTGGTCCAGTCATGGGATAGTCCAAAATGTAGGCTGCTACTTCTCTCATAGCTCCTTCACCTACCTGTGTACCTTTCTTTAGTCCCTCGCCATCAACAGAAACAGCCTGTCCGCGCGGATTGTTCACAGCCATTGGCTCCTCGTCAATAGGCTTGAAGACAGAGACATACTTGTGTCCGGATGGATCTTGCATAAAATAAGCTCCTCCTGATCCATCAGATGATTGAATCGGGCCATTTCCCTTCTCCAAGCCTTCTAAAGTGGAGCTGATAAGTTCTTTTAGCAATAAAGGCAGTTTAATTTCAGGATTAACAATAACAGGCTCCACAAAGAACTCTTTAGGCTTCGCTTGTGATAATATGTTTTTTCCTCTTCTACCATCGACATTGTGCTTGTGATTTACATTTTCGATGAACACCTCAAAATCCTTCCCCACTGGTTTAGCTCTGACTTTGACGGATTTCCTAATTAGTAAGTGAATCACATTCTCTCCATTTTTACAGAGATCAGTGATGAGTCTTTGGTCATCCAGCTCTTCACCATCTAATGTGAGTTCATGATCCCTGGGGATTCCGAGCTCTTTTTCCTTTGAAGCAATTTGCTGCTTCACGTAACCAACATTTCTACTCCTCTCAACAACGAGCTCAAACTCTTTCCCATCAACAGTTCTTACAGAAATGGCTTGAAGATCTGAAAGTCTAATAACCAAATGCAACAGTTTCCCATCAGCAAGGCCATAATCTCGAATTTGGGAATCATTTCGAGTTGGCTCTCTACCATCATATAGAAGTTTCTGCTTTTTCACAAAAAAACCCTTGATACTCTGAATCCTTAGCTTCACAGATGCTATTGAATCTGACTCCATAACCCGCTTAGGGATCACAGATCCAGCAATAGTCAGAAAAACCAGGATTGGGTCGTCTAAGTTCAAACCAAACCGTCCAATAATACCTGGAAAGTTGACAAGTTCCTCCAGGGCTGGACTCAACGCTACACTAGCAACTGACATTCCAACTGTACACTTCTATCCTAAATTCCTGGGAATCAAGAGAGCTCAACAGGAATAAAGGCTGAAATCCCAGGAATCAACCCTTATTCTTCTCCCGTGAGCTTTAGAAAGACCCAAGTTCCTGCACGGATTCAGGAACTCTGGAACTGAAGAGCTTTCTAACTCACATCTTGCCAAGCAATATTTGCCAAATGTTCATATTGAAGTTAAGAAAATCCTAAACCACCTATGATTAGGCTTTCGTTCGAATCACCGTAGCTTAAAAATATCTCGTAATCGCATCAATCGCAAATAACCTGAATGAAAAACAATGATCACATGAATTAGTCATGGAACAGCATCAACATCAATCACTATTTTCTAATTAATCACAAATATTAAGAATTGGGATCAAAACACCAACCTCTTTGTATAGATGATGAACAATTGAACATGCGTCTACTTTTATCTTAGCAAACTATATAACCTTTTTTTTTTTTCTTGAACATAAGCAAACTATATAACCTTAAAAACTTTTGTTCTCATCTATATATAATTAGAATTCTTCAAAGCTAAAATTAGCTTAAAAAGCATAACTAAACAACGGCCACAAAATTAGTTTTAAGTCAACGTCTTAATCGGATTTTATCATCACAAAACCAAACAGGCTGGCCTAAGTCTTAAAACTTTATCCAATTACTAATCTTAATTTAGGTTTATGACAATTAAGATTTTAATACTAATTCTCACACTTTTACATAATCAAACACGAAGTAAATCACTAATCACAAAACCAATAATTCAATCCTTAATCACTAAAGATAAGTCTCGCATCATCTAACGAGTATTTCTCCAGAGAAAAGCGCGACATAAATCTCCCAAAATCAAAAATTGAATTCGAATTTCTACACACATTTCCCGATCATCGAAACCGATACAATTCATCATTCATAATTAACCGATTCTTCAGGGAGATCGAAAAACCTAGAAAAAAAAAATGGTCGTACCTTGGAATAAAAATCTGTGAAGCGATTCTTCTTAGTGAAATCGGAACTGGTGTTCGATAAAACTTACTCGCCAAGTTTCCGAGAATTCGAAAACCCCTCTCTTCAATTTTTTTTTCCGATAAATTTTTTGCGTTTCCCAGAAAAAAAAAAAAGAAGAGGAGAGAGAGAAACAGTGACAAGTCTTCTTTGAACAGCGGCGAATTTTTAGGGGATGTATTTATAGGGTTTGACCTCGCTGACTTTTGACGGAAGTTTTAATTGAGATCTTTAACGCCGTGAACTGTTCCCCACGGCAGATACCGTTTCCGTAACGGACGCTAATCTTTACCGTTTCAGACTAATCTAGAAATTCCCAAATTCAATAAGAACTCTTTTTGCCAGTGTTCAATAAAAATTGATATTGATCGTTAAAATTGGGAAAGTTCCTGAAATTTTTTTAAAAAATTGGTAGATTTGTCCAATTTTTCTTTATTTAGTTTTTTGTTTTTAGCATTTTTGTTATATAGTATACATTATTGTGAAAATATAGCGTGAAAGTCATACCATATCGTAACCATTGTGGTGTAAATGGAATATTTAGCATTTTGTTTTTTGGTCAATGGAATATTTAGCATAAAATGCAGATTTTATTACCATTAAAGTCAAATCTTCACCATGGCAAATTGGCAATGGTCAACGTGGCGCCGTTGGAAAATTCGGAATCCGTCATAATTAACGGCGTTGTGGTAGGATCAGTTAATTGGTACGAACCGATATATAAAACCGCTTTATCGGTTAAGTTTGGCTTGCTTTGGTTTCTACTAATTCCTGATACCGAACATAACCGGAAATATTCCAACATGAAATAGCCGGTAACAAGCCAGGATGAAAATTGACCATCCTCCAAAGTTCTAAACACAAATCCAACACAATTTTTTTTACCAAATTGTTCGAAGAACCGATGATTAAAATTATTAGGACCAAATTAAACCATAGTAAACCACAAATGATAGTAAAATAGAAAGTATAACCAATTCAATAGGCATGATATATTATCATTTATTCATCATGTAAAGAGATGAAAAAGAATGTGAAAAAAAAAGAAGCAAAACCAACAGGTTCTGTGAATATACCCTTCATAAGTTCTTCTCTATAAATTCCCAAATCCTCTGTTCCATATATATCCGGTCTTTCTTCTTCCGTGGCATATGCCGTTCATCGGGAAATATCAACAATTCATACCGCTTTCCTGCTTCGACAAGCGCGTTCACGAGCCTAGCCGTGTGTCTGAAATGCACATTCTCGTCGATCATTCCGTGTACTAACATCAGCTTCTGCTTATCCGTCAGGTTCCCGACATGGTGCATTACCGAGCTCTTTAGGTAGCGCTCCTCCTCCGTGGGAAGGCCCATGTACTTTTCGGTGTAGAATGAGTCATAGCCATCCCAAGATGTAACAGGAGCACCCGAGACAGCGCAGTTAAAGATCTCAGGGTATCGGGTCAAGAGTGTAGCTGAAAGGTACCCACCGTAACTCCAACCATATACCCCAATGTGATCAGGTTTAGCCAGACCTTGCTCGATTAGCCATTTGGCCCCGGTTACTTGATCTTCTGCATCAACATATCCACAGTTATGCTTCATCCAAGATTCAAATTTCAACCCACGCCGTGCAGTTCCTCTGTTATCAAGCTGCAAAACAAGTGATAATATATCAATTCTAAAGCCTCACCTTTGAGTGAACCTTATTCAACATTTTCCTGAGAAAAATAAGAGAGAATATTAAGAATTTGCAGAACCTTCCAAACTAAGATGCCTCTGCTTCTCAGGTACTGTGTCCTCATGTCAACTGTATTAATCCAAGAATCATGGACCAACTGAACGCTGGGACCTCCGTAAACGTTGATCATTGTTTTATAAGGAGGAGGACCAAATTTCGAACTGTCGGGTTTGTAAACCGCGCCGTACAGTGTTGTCTTTCCGTCATTCGCTTGTATTTGAACAAACTCTGGAGGCTCTAGTTTAAGGTTTTTCAGTATCTGTATAGGAGAGTTCTGCTCGTAGAGAATCTTGAGTACGGTTCCGTCGCTCAGAGAGCAAAGAGAAACCCGGGGAGGCGAATCAACTGCATCATGAATGTCAACGAAGTTCTTCATCTGGTGATCGAGCACAACGATATGTTTTCCTTTCCCATGTGTAAGTCTCATCGGTTGACACCGAGATGCATCCCCAGCTTCCAATTTTGTGCAGTAAAGATTAGTCTCAAGTGGTCCATCAAGGGTTCCAGTGAAATACACCAGACTCATCGGCTCATTTACACCTGCAATTTGCTCAACCATCCCTTCACCGCTAGTAATAGCTCCAAGGCATGTCCCATCAGACTCATAAAGATACAAATGTCTGAAACCGGTCCTCTCGCTGGCCCAAATGAATCCTCCTGAACCTCTCGACGAAGGGACTATCTCCAGAGGGGTAAAACAGTCATGTAAAGTCACCCACGCATCAGATTCTTCCGTCAACAGTACGTTTCCTTGACCAGTGTTGATGTCAAAGCTGATGATTTTCAGTTTACTCTGCGACCTATTTAGAACCTGCACCGTGAGAACATTCCCGGGCAACCAATTGACTCTACCAAGATACTCGTCCTCTGTATTGGTTCTTCCTCCACACACAAGATTCATCCAGGTCGTCTTCCCACCACCAGCTGAAGAAACTACCCCGAGACGAAGTGTAGAATTGAGAGCTCCTGCAAAAGGATAAGCATGATCTTCTTGCGCCTCTGAACCAACCGAACGTTTTCCCTGATGCATTATTCTGAATAAAGGAATCTGTGAGGAGTCGACTTCTGTATAGGCGATAAACTTGCTATCTAATGACCACCAATACCCATTTCTCCGATCCATCTCCTCCTGAAACAGAAAAAATTGCAAGAACATATTTCAGATATAACATACAATTTGTAGCATTAAACTTTTTATTCCTTCAAGGAAAACAAACAAAACGGGGAAGTTTTCGGAGAGAAGTTTCTCACCTGAGCTATGTACTCAGCAAGACCGTGAGTCTGCAACAACAAAACAAATCACAGTTATTCTCCCGAGAGTATGTTAATAAGACCACAAGAATAGTCTTGTAGCAAAAGCTTTACTTACCAAAGTACTTCCATTGGCACCGGTTGTTAACTGTTGTGTCTGGTTTTTTAACAAATTGAGGACATGCAACTCGGAGTCTCTTACATATGCAAGAAATAAGCCATTAGGGGATAGACGAGGATCAATAATTGGAGAAGTGGGTGAACTTGGAACTATGAGCTCCGGAGTTGGTGATGAAGAAAGGTCCTTCATATACACCTAACCATGGTCACAACACAAAACAAACAAAAAAAGTAACCCAATCAGAGTTAGATTATTTCAAGATTCTAAAAAAAAAGAATGCTACATGTAAGAACAAATCCTCTTTAATATCTTTGGATCAACGATTACAATCAAGAACCGCCTGACCAAACCCAAAGAGATCTCCTAACCCTCCCAAGCCTTTTAAGGCTACCAACAAACCACTTGCTCAAATGCCCCTAAGATGTTCTGCTTCCATTACATTCTAGTTCCTATCAGCAGCTTTCTAAATCCATCTCAATTGAGTTCAAATTCATATGTGTTCTCTAAAAAGTGACGATTCCAATAAGATTGTCAAAAGGTTTTAAGATCCTAACAAAGAATGTAGTATTGATTAAAGAAGCAAGGGGATAACAGAACAAACCCCGGCAGGTAAAGGCACGACAATGAATCTCATCTTCGAGTTAGTCTTAACCCACTCATACCGAGTTACTCCTAATCCCCGCTCCCGCAACCTCTCCCTTCTCAACTTCTCTTCCGGTGAAATATTGCTCTCATCAACTCCACCATCAGGAGGACTAAAAACCAAATTAGATTCCCCTTTATTCACATCAAACGCATACACCCTCCTATTCAAATTCTTTTCAGGGCTAAACAAATAAGTGATCAAAGAATCATCAGGACTAAAGCTAACTGCAGTTGGGGCAACATAACCAGGTAAAGGCGTCTGAACAATATCTTCAACAGCGAAAGGAACGTCCTTATCCGCCATAAAGGAAGATCCTTTAGATTCTCAAAGGTATCTACTTTCAACAAACTACAAAATAACAATGAACAAGAATCTTCATTACTCAAAGCATCAAGCTTTTTTATCACAAGCTTTGAATTACACTACATTTTGTTACATACACAAAAAAAGGAGTCAACTTTATCACATCAATCAAGATTAACAAACAGTATTCAATTCTATATTGAATTCAACATCAGTGGGTACAATGATCAATGGTTCTTCATTTTTTCAGCAATAAAATCAAATTCATGCGTATTAACGGAGAAAAGAATCGTCGATTGACATTAGAAAAGATGGGCAATTTGTTGATCTAAACGAAATTGGAGAGGAAGAGGAAGAAGAAGATTAGAATTGAAGTTGGTGGGCTTACATTGGAAATGGAGCTGATCAGAGAGATTGAGAGAGATAAACTGATTCAGCTATCTTTTGGTCTTGGAGATAGAGAGAGAGAGAGATTCTTCCTACTCGGTGAAATGACTCGGCTAGCTTTGTTTTTTTTTTTTTTAATTTTTTATATTTAAAGTGTTATTCAATTAAAAATTCAACATAATTTCATATCTAGAATGTACAAATAATTTTATTCAAGAACTAATTATTAATTAGAAGTTAAACAACATTCATAAATCATCTATTTTATTTCAAATTTAGTTTTAAAACTCTCGTTTCAAATAATATTTGATATTTTATGGAGAATTTTTTATTTTTTAATATTTTTGATCGATAAGACCCGATCCATAATCAATCCTTACTACGCGGGATAACGCGATTCCAATAACAAAAGTGGAGTCAAGTGTATTTAACCACTTGACTAGAGACATTTCCTCAAATTTATTGTTATAGATTTAGTAAACAAAAAAAAAGGTTGAACCAATAATATTAATATCAGCAATAGGTGGATCCTATTTTAGTATATGAACAACATTGAAGCAATAATAGACTATTTTAAAATATTTGATACTGTATGTGAGATGGAGAATCACTTGTTCCACATAAAATGAAACATTAAAACTATGTAAATAACTAAATATGTACACAAGACAAGTACAAGATCCTTATCAAGATCGGTTTATTTCCAAATCCTAACTTACATCTCTATCGTCCTCTTTAAGATTTTTTGTACAAAAGTATTCATTTATATATATTTATCTTTCTTGCATGGCTTCTATTAGAAAGATACGTTTTGCAATTCCAATTCTTCGTCTTCACAAGATGAAACAAAACTTGGAAACGTCCCCTTTATGTCCCTACATTTACCAAGAATCTTACGATTAATCAATTTGATTCAATCCAACAATCAAACCGGTCGGTTTGGTTCAAAGTTGGTCACGGCCTGGAACATATGAAGAGATTAGACTCTCTATATAACTTAATAGCCAATATAGAACTCACTTTAGATATGGCAAAGTCATGTTCTTGATGAGCGATGGATTCAAGGATACAAAATCTTTCCATTCATCTATATCAATTTTTCCATCGTTTTTGCGGTCTGCTTCAACAAAAGCCTGCATTTATATACCATAATTTCCTTAATAAATTATTTATCATTAAGATTATAATCTTCAGAATTATCTTATCTAGAAAATATATGCATGGTGTTGAAGTGATTACCTTATCAACCATTACTTCGATCATATCTTCAGAAAGAACTAGTTCAGATTCGTGAAGAAGCGCGATTACCATCTCTTTCAACTAATCAAAACATAATTCCGCAGTTTTGGTCATTATGGTACATACATGTTAGATCAACACACATAAAGTTACTGGAGTAAAACTGTTTAATCTGAAGGGTTACCAAAACAAAAGTAAACCGTAAATGGACTCACTTCTTCTCGCTCGATGAATCCAGTTTGTCGTAAATCGTACAATTTGAAAGCAACTGCAAATTCATGATAAAATTCGTTGTTAGTTAACTTAATAAGAAAAGAATATTAAGTAATTCACATAGAATGAATATAATGTGAAACAATTTTTGGGATTAGAAGAATGACATTTGATTTTATCATGGACCGGTGCGCTTGGATGGAAGACGCCTAAGGACCGGACAAATTCCCCAAACTCGATCACTCCATTTCGCTTCACATCAAATACATCAAATATCTGCGTATTATAAAACAGAACTTTGTTTAAAATCATATTCATATGTTTGCTATGATGTAACTTGTTTTAGCTACGTAGATAATATATGTACCCGATCAGCGAAGAGATTCTTCCGGTTCCTATTTCTGAATAAAGCCAGCTGAAATTCTTCCTGCAACATCACACTTTTATACTCTAATTAAGCCATTTAATTAGACGACCTATTCGCTGTCTAATATGGTCGTTTTAGAATGAAAGAAGAAACCTTATGAATAAGACCGTCGTCAATAATTGAGCTGCTTAGCTTCTTGAACAGTTCATACAAAGCCTCCACTTCAGCTACCGTAACTATTGTCCCTCCCATTAAAAGTAAAATAAAATTAGTTTTAATTATCTAAACTCTAGAACTTGTTATCTACTTAACATTTTGAGATTATCTTACTAATAAAACTAAAAACTAACATGGCGTAATGGAGGCAAGAAGCTCGGGATCCTCATATCCCGGCGGTCGCATTGCATTCTTGTTCTTCTTCTTCTTCGACAAAGAGCAGCCCATACAAACACACCTTCTCTCAACTGTTACTCGTCTTTGCTTTTCTCACTCTACAACCAAACATAAATAATCTTGGTTTACAGATATTTCATTCTTCCTTATTAATAACACCCATCGATCAATTCCTACTTTGGTATCCGTTGGATCTACCAAAAAAAGGTCCAAGAACAAACCAATTAAGATCGACTGCAATTAATAATAGGCAACTTGTTTAATTTGTCACGTTATTGACTTTTCTAGTTTTTTTTTTTTTTTTTTTTTTTTGTCAAACTAAAAAAAGTATACATGTTTTGGTAAACTCACAAAAGATTGCCAAAATGTTTCTAATGAAATTTACATATAATTTCAAAATTAGAACAAAAACAACCTTTGCCCTGTTTAATCTATAATTTAGTAATGATGATTCACAATAAAGAAAATGAAACCAAAAGTTATATAATTCATAGAAGATTTATGTAACTCGCCGTAATAGCCACGACAATGACGTATATATAATATCTAGGTGTACAGATAAGAGAGAGCTTTAGTTTACTTCTAATTATATTATTCCTAATAAGTAACAGAGATAACTTATCAAAGTCTACTATGATATATGCATAAATACAATTATACAAATACCGGATCAAATCTAATCGACGCTGGTCCACGTATATGCATGAATCAGTCAATGGAATAGAGTAAATAGATACAAAGTTTAAAAAAAATAAAAAAAATAGATATAAAGTTATCAAATAAAATTGAATATATGTCCAACACAATCACAATAACATATTTAAGCGAGCAAAAGCGTTTCGAGGTCTCTAGAAGTAGTATAACCATGTCTTAAATTTTTAAGGGAAGAGACTAGAGAGACTATAATGGATTTTGGAGGATAGAGAAGAGTTCCAATATGAATGGGACCAACATTAGTGCAATAATATAAAGTGATGCTTTATCAAAAATCACGAGATTGAGACAACTTTTTGTTGCTTTATTCAGTAATTGTAGGCAATTATATGTGTTTCCACTAATAAAACAAAACAAAGAAGGTTTAGTTACACTACTATCTATAGTAAATTTAAATCTTAATTTACTTTAAAAAAATGTCAAGTAAAATCCTTAACCATACAGGCCTTTAGTACATATCTCTACGCAGAGCCTGTCTTCGACCAGGCAAGCGAATCTTGAACTTGGAACCTCAAATCAAATAAATATTTGAAAACTACATAAGCCTAGTTGGTTAATGAATCATTCATTAATAATGGTCAACTTATGCCTAAGGAAGATTTTAACGTTGGTGTATTTGATGTGTGTGGAGCCTCCAAATTCTCATGATCTGTTTTTTAGATCTATAGAGAATCGTATTCAATATAAGTCGTGTAAACCAACTTATACATACGAACATACCTTAATTTAGATGCAGTATTTTCATCTCTTTGTGCAATAAGGTTGTTTAATCAAATAAAATAAAATAATAACCCGGCCATGCAGCAACGAAAAGATGACTTTTATGTACTAATTATTTTTTATATTAGGTATTTAAATAAGTGAATGAAAAACAACTTGCAGGTATTGACTTTAATAATTTATTTGTTATATATAAGTTTATTAGGTATAGACTATAGTCTTTGATTTTTTTAGTTAGAAATCAAATTTGTCATCTCCTTCTCCTTTGACCCTAAAACATCAAAAGTGTCTAATTCTCAAAATCCCAAACACAAAGTGTTTTGTTTTGCAACATAAAACACTTTCAAAAAAAAAAAGAAACCCCAGTTCTAATGGCTATGCATGAACTTAAATAAACACCCACCAAAATCGAACCGATATGGACCAAACCGGATATGATCCAATTAGTAATCTCTAATCTGAAATTATTTGATTTCGATAGAAGCCAGTTTAAGGAATGGTTTTGGTTTGGTTATTTTTTTTTAATACTTAACCGAATTATACGAAATCTTATCATTAGATTCCTTGAAACCTGGACATATATTGACTCTTTCTTGAAGAAAAGAAAACCCAAGATGGGATAAACTTCAAGCTCTTAAACCTCCATTTTGAAAGAAAAAAAAAACATCGAATTCCTTTTTATACATCTTGAGTATGGACAAAAAATTACGAAACAGAAAGCCAAAAGTTGGATGTGACCAAAACAAAACAAAAAAAACCATTGGAAAGAGTTGAAAGATTTTCTCAGCAATGGTGGATTGAAGAAATCAAGAAATGAATAAATAAGAGAGAACAAACACACAAAAACTAACCGAGAAGTGTGAAAATCTCTCTATGTTCTTGTCGCCTCTTCACTTCTTGAATAATTGAATAAATGGTGTTGGAAGAGGAAAAGGGTAATGAGAGTTTAATTAAATAGAAGACCAAATTGTGACGGGCTTCCCAACAACGGTTCGGGTTTGTGTCAATCCATGCGCAGATGGATCGTGATGTTATGTCGGTTTTGAAAATATATATTTTATATTTTCTATAAAAATGTTATTATTGTTGTAGTACGAGTGTTTTCCTCAACCCTTCCGTTTATGACAAAATATAAAGTAATACAGTTTTCAAGTCCCACGAGTCCCACCTCACTTTTTAATTTCCTTCTGTTGACACTTGTGGTTGTTGACAAATAATTTTGAAAACAAAAAGGAGAGGCTATTTTTTTTTCTTAATATATAATATTAAATTTTGAAAATACACCCGCATTTTTAATATTTTAGAAAGTAGATTAATGTATTTCATAAGAAAAAGTTCGTCGCTAATATATTCTCAAATGAATTATCAAAATAGTTTTACGGATGATTGATACTTACATTTTTATACGTATACAAATATATAAAAATTTTAACATATAAAAATTTTAACATATAAAAATTTGGATGTCTCACATTCATCATCGTCAAGCTACCAGATTCCGCAATCTACGTCGCTTTTTATAGGGGTTGGAACTTGTCAGCTCATACCCGTCCTATAAGAGACCTTTGGCTCAAATTCACATTCCTACTCTTGCATCAATAGGACATGACAAGATTGCAACTACATGTGCCTTTTTTTTTTCATGCATCAGTTTCTCTTTGCTTTCTTCAACATATAGTTTGTATTGTCTTTGTTCAATTACAAAATATCTATTTCATTTATAGTCGATCCATCTTTTCATTTGCACTTTTTTAATCAAATAAAAATTTACGTTGTGAAATGACAAATCTTCCTTTATATACGTCTCTTCAACTTTTTATCCCATTAATCTTCCTTTTATTGTCTGTTGTGTATTGGTGCTATTTCAAAAGTTTGGTTTTGCTATCATGACTATTTTCTTATAATATGTTTGTTATGGTTCAGAATATCTATTTATCAAAAATGATCATCGCAGCAATATCAAAAAAATAGTTTTGAAATAGAAAATTGGTGAACAAAATACCCTTAACCGAAACAAGAAAATGAATTTTCAGAAGAAAAGTGACAACCCAAGAAACACCAAAACCAAACCGATAACCAAACACGTAAACCGATGTTTGAATCGTTTTAGGTCCAGTTTAAGTCTAATCTAAAGACAGAGACTGGACTAGCTCTAAAGAGTTTGTTGCATTGTGATATTTTTCATTTGTTTTCTTCATCTTTTTCTCTAACTTACGCAATGAACACTTCGCCTCCTCTATCTTCTTCGCTGCCATTCTCACTTTGTCTCTTGCTGATTCCAATTTTCTCAGCTTCTCTTCTTCATCCTCCTTTAACTGTAACCGGAAAATGAATTTCCGGTTTGCTGATCCGAAACCCAAAGATCATATCATCAGCAGTTACATATACAGATGCAAGGAATAAAACTCGAACACAAACTTGAACAAAAAGAAGAAAAGAAGATAAATTTGGAAATAGTTTAAGCTCCATGTCAAGTTTTGAGATTTATGGTTTAAATGCAAGAACTACAATGGATATAATGATCAAGAAAAAGTCAAGTACCTGCACCCGGAATATAAAAATCCGTTTTCTTTTGCGATAAATCCATCTAAAGAGACTGCACCACCACCATTGATGTGTGGAAGAGCTGCTTCAACTTGCTTTTGGGTCTCATATACCTGTAAATTCCCAAAGAGATTATAGAACAACGTCTCTCTAAGCCCATATCCTGAGTATGTTTGTATAGTGAGCTCCTCTGTTGCCAAATCAATCATGTTCACGGCATAGCCTTTGAAACCCGGTATGGGATCTCCATCGGGCAGCTTCGGGTCATCCATGGCTAATTTCTTCTGAGGATCGTTTTCCAAAAGTCCATCCTTCCAAGGTCTGGTGTTCGGAAAAGACCACCAGAAAACTTTTATAATTCTGTCAGAAATGATTCTAAGGTTTAGCTATCCAAAAGTTGAAAGAAACCTGATTGCATCAAGACATAGAACATGAAACCGATGATTGGACTGAAGCCTGAGATACTCAGCATTATTCGGTCCAATTTTTGCCGATTTGCATACCAAAGCGAGCATCATGTCTTCTCCCAAATATTCAGACAACACCCTGCATACCAAATAACTTCAGATACAAAAGTTTTGGCCCAAGTATAAACACTGACCAGTAACACTGGCTTTAAATTGATGTCACCTGCTAAGGGAGGTGGAAGCAACTGAACCAAGAAGCGCTACAAGGCTAAACACTCCTTTCTTTGACAGAAACAGAGACTGTGGAGGAGGGGCCTTTCTGTACAAACAACAAAAAACCGATGCTGCGGTGTCATGATGCTTCTCTTCAATCTGTTTCATCATTGATTCTTTGGTGGATAGGCATTCTGGGAACGTAGCACCGAGTGGTTCCAGAGAAGCTGAGATAAAGGCAACATGAACAGTTAGGAATTGCTGGTTTGTGCTATCATTCGCCATTCTTTTGTCTTAGAAAATTGTTGCAATAAGACTATATATGTTCAATAACGATTTTGTGAAACTCTTAAATTAAACTTAAAGTGATTTCAGAATTAAAGATGCCGGCATTGTTGTAGACACCAAATACAGGGCACAGTTAACAACAAAAATGCAAAAAATTAGCATCAATGCAACTTCAACCCGCATCATAGTTATCAAACTTCTGCAAATAAGTATATTAAAAAAAAACAATATCTGATCTTAACCAAGAATCCAAAATAATAGTTACCTTGCAAGGTACTCAACTCTTCCTTAGCCTGGTTTTGTTCAGCTTCCAAACATTTTAGGCGCTCATCTACTTCCACTCTGTCTTCACTGTAATTAATAAGTTTTTCTTTTAAGCTCTGCAGGAAAAGGGAGCATTTTTAAATATATGGTTGAGACTATAACTCGGAATACAAAAGTTAGATCATTCTAGGAATTGGTTTGCTTTTAAATGGTGATGGCCATACCTCAGTGAACTGTGCCATATCCATCAGGCCATTTTGGCTACTGAGAGCCGATGACGATGCCCTAATGGCCAAAACTCTAAGCTGTGAACATGGAGTTTGTTCAGTTGGAGCCACCGGTGAATTTGTGGTTGAAGCCATCTTTGATTGAGGTGTTAAACTCATCCTTGAATAAGGTGTAGAACACCCAATCTCATCTCTTTCAAATATTTGAGCAGGCGTTAGCTATATCTGTAAATTAAGAGGGCATGTTATCAACAACCTCAAGGTAAAAACATATTGTAAGATAACCCATTCGACAAATTACTACCTTTAAGGTCAGATGAAGCTCGGGAAATCGAGAATGGAAAACCCTGAAAGAAAAGAGACCCTCGCTCTCGGGTAGGGAAAGAGTAGGAACTTTGCAGGACCCGTGGACAAAGGCATATCTGATTGCACTCTCAACGCTGCTTGAATCAGATTCAATGCTCATGGTATGGAAACATCCTGATTTTTCGTCATGATGGATACTAGTATCCATAGCACCATCTGAATCCGTCACTTCGAAAATGAGGTTTGTAAGACTTGAAGCAGCAGCACAGCAGTCAGGCAGCTGATTAAAACAAACAATTTCAGAATGAGTAGGTAGAGAAGATGAAAGACAGAACTCCAGAACAAGAGAAACAAACTAAGACGGCATTGAAACAATCAACCTATGTTACTGATACTTACCTTTGTTAAGAGCCTGAGCTCTCGTCTCTCAATCAGAGACTCTTTCTTAAAGATCTCATCAATACCAGACATAACAGAGAGTGATACTACAGAGAAAAAACAAGACATTAGAAAATAAGAAGATATTAATTGTTACATCTTACAACAGAATGGTCGCAGATGTTACTAGATTTCCCATAGCTGGCTGTGACTTGGAGAATTCCAGACAGATCAACGCAGCCACAACTATTAACCTATGACATGCTCAATAAACTTAAAGTGTAAATAGATCGTTGGTTAACACAGTCACCAAAAAGACCAGTTAATAGAAAACAAAGCATATAATATGGTATACTAGAAGTTCATTAAAATAATCGTAAGCACATAAGCTCCTCTCACCTTTCGGTTAAAGCCCATCGAGTCTTTCATACAATAGCCCTCAATACATATCAGAACATTAGTATCTTCTGCAACATGGTTATTATATCCATCGAACACCTGCATAAAAAACAGTGTACTCAGCTTGATTTGATGTAATTATTCATTACCTAACAATTAAATGAATAGACCTTTTATTACATATACCTCCAAGATATAATTTTGAACAGTAGAACCTGGAAGCAAATTTTCCAAAGCCTCTGGACACATCTCAACAACATGCTTCAGAGGCCCAGGATTAACTGAAATATGAAAAGCTTGTGACGTAAATTATCATTCTACAAAAGTACTCTTCTAAATCCGCTTAGTTTGTGTCTCAAAACATTTCCTACTGCTGTCAATTTTCTCGGTTCCATAAACAAAGTAGAAATTACAAAAGGTGAGATTGATACACTCCAGCTCTTATTTTGTTCTACGTTTTAAGTATCTAGATAACTATTTTGTGTATCTTACTACAAGCTTTTGCAGCACAGACATATAAAGACTGAGATGGAAAATTAAAGCATACCTTTACAAGCAACTGAGATGGAAAATGGTTCGTCCTTTGAGCATATCTCTAAGGTTGCCTCATAATCTGGCCTGATATTATCTAACTTATCAGTCTCAACGAGCATATTCTGCATTAGTTTCAGAAAATTGGAAAGTTATAGACTTTGCCAGTAAATTAACAGCCATCAAAGGTCTTCTTCAGCTGCCACCAGGGGTCTAATCTGGTATCTACCCTCTCTCGATGAAAAAATTATAGTCATAACATTAGTGCTTGAAGATGTTAAATACCTCGACTTTGAGAAGCCCATGATCTACCAGGTTGGCCTCAATCTTATCAATCTTTATTTGGAATCCAGGGCTGGCTTTTAGTTCAACTTCCAGTGTTGGAACAGAAGTGAAAGCAATCTGATTTTCATATTCATCAAAGCAAGCGATAGAGCAAGGAGGAAGTGAAGAGCCCACCCTGTAGACACACCATTAAATTGATCAAATTTAAGATCTTAAGTGCAGGAACAAGAGAAAGGTCACATGTATGTGCCATTCTGAAGCGTATAAGAGTCTTACTGAACATTATACTGCCTCGTGGACTCAATATTAGAAGCAAGTTTCCAACTTCCCACCTTCGAAGAAGGTTCAACAACCACCTTTTTGGTAGTAGTAATTAAGTTTCCCTGAAAGGAAAGTGTTCGAACAATTGGTTATATGATTACTCAGAAAAACATAAATGGCAGATAAAGATTATAACATTACTTACAATAGAGAAACAAAAGTTGTAAATGCCAGCTTTATTGAACATGTTCGGGAGCTTCGACTCAAGTGGAAAGATGTAGAGACCATGGAATCCGCTAGAGGATGTAGGTAAACAGTGGTGAGAATACAAAAGTTTGGTATTCTTATCCCTTAATTTTGTATTCGTGTCTTGAAATTCTACTTCCATGAGCATGTTCACATCCATCTTCACAATATGTTTCTGATCCAACTTTTTCGACACTTTTGAAGATGTGAAGCTAGCAGGTCGAACAACTGCAACAATCTGTTGCGGTGGAGTTACTCCGGCACGCACTGAATCACCAACTGATGATTCCTATAGCATATTCATAAATAAAACGTTATCTCGTAGTTAATGATTTTAAGACAAGTGCTTGTTTTCATGGAAACAGTTTGGGAAACATCAGTGTTAAAGATATTTAATATATCTTTGTATGGACGCATATGCAGATGAAGGCACATACATGAAAAAAAGACGAGGAAAGTGAGTAAACACTTAAAGACAGTCATGTCCTGAATTATAGCAGCAAACGCTATTACTACATCTGACTCCTTTTTAGTAAGAAAAGAAACGTTCCTACCCCATTAATGTTCAATGCTCTGCAATCTTCCTCATCCAGCAAATCAATTCTCGATGGATCCTTTTCCCGTTGCTTCTCAATTTTTCTATTCCATTCAATTGCATCTAGAAGTAGACACTGTTCAAAAACATCTCTCAGAGTGACGTTAAGAGAGTACGAAAAAGAAAAAGAATATGATTAAGGGTTCCGCAGTTGACCTTTCCAGAGTCAATAATACTGACTGGAAAAGATGAAGAACTTCGTATTTCCAATCTTGAAACTCCATTAGTGATTGAAAGCATGCATCCCTCATCTTCAGAGTAATTGATTTGCCTAGATTGAAAATTCAGATTCAGTATTCGAGAATTAGAGATAGTGAACTCGTCCTATATACAGAACGAGCTAAATGAAAAAAAATCACCTGCATATAATCCGGGCATCACCTGCTCAGAAAACACATAAAGACAGATCAATCCAACATTGTTTCTAATTTGTAGTTTAAATGAGTGAGACGGTACTTACCGCCTGCTTCGTCATCGAAACCTTCGATGAGAAAATAGTCAATTGTCGCATAGACGTCATTCTTGTGAACCCCTCCACATGCGCCTTTCAGAATCCTGATCTTCTGTCCACGTTTCCATGACATTCCTTTTCTCTTCATAACATTGTGCACCCTCACAGCTAGAGCTCAAAAGCATTGCAATTACAAATAACCATTTTATACTATCACTCACCAAATCATAAGTTTTTACAGAACATTTCCGGTTATTCATTTGATGGTTATTCCAAACAATTATTTTTTATCTTGATGAAGGCATGTGTAGTAGTTTGCGGCTGCATACCTTTACAATCAGGCGAAATGCAAAGAGCTTTGTTATCCAAGGAATCAAAAATAATGATTGCGTCATCTTCGCCCGACGCATCTTCTTCATCATAAGTCTTATGCATCTCAGTAACCCAGTTCTGATAATCCCGCTCCACTTGCCCAAAAACTAAAGCTTCTCCTTTTCTATGAAGCGCAATATTGACATCTGTAAAAATTAACGAGACTTAAATATATTCTAGTTACTAGAAGAAGAGCAAAAAAAGACTCCACATGGGTTTTAAACTGACCGTAATCCTTCTCCTTTGATTTACTACCGAAGTTTTTCAGAGCCAAAGAGAAGGGGTTTTGACTTGCAAGATCAGTCTGCAAAAAGCATGTAAAATAATCAAATAAAATGGTACTACTATCATTAACTAATCAAGGATAGTGCTAGCTCACTTTTGAGGGCGTTGGGCTAAAACCAGCATCCAAATCTGAAACCAAGAGTGTACATGAAACATGCTCTCATTAAACAATTTTAAATAGATACATATACAATTGATTATGTGCGAGGGCATCATACCGACAAAGCATATCACCCTTCGACAACATTTCTGCAAAGTAGTGGCTCTGTCTCCCTTTTCCATAAACGGAATTGATGCCTACACACAGTTATTGGAAACACAAACAAGGATTTACCCACAGTCATAAACATTTTAAATCCTGGACACACTTAAAACATTGTCTGGCTACAGGAACTGTGAGTACTCCAGGAAGACCAGCAAATTGTGACCAAAGAAGACTAACCCAAGGGACTTCTGGGAGTAGACGACCAAGTCTTCTTACAGAAAGACGACTAAAAGTTTCGAAGCTTTCAGAAGCTTTGTATCCTTCCTTTCCTAAGCTTTCCAAAATAATATTAATGCTCTCTTTATAAATGCTCTCAGTTTCCTGTCACATAAATAGTTCAGAACTTTAAGTGTTCAGTTCAAGAAAGGTAACCAAAGGTCAGGTTCGCTTCTTTGGAAAGGATAGTCATACCCGTACGATTGGAAAATAAGCAAACTTGAGGCGAGCGTTTGCCTCCTGGGATGTCAATGACCCTGGATGAAAAAAAAAAATATAGTCAGACTCCTAACAATGAGATCAATATTTGGATTCAGTGTTCGACAGAAAACGTATATCGAGCCCTAGTTTTAGTATCTCCATGTAAGTTACATTTGCTTTCACTGTTGCTACACAAAAAAATGACATATGTTCTTTGAGAATATGATAAAATATTACTTATCTGTTTCTATCTACACACACAAACACGACTGCAGTTTTGTTACAAGGGACATAAACTTTTTCCATGTCAATCTGAATATATGTTTAAAGATATCTAATCATATTTTCAGATAGATAGCTCTGGCTGTTTGCTACCAAATGCTGGAGCAAAAGCAGCCAGACGTTTAACTGAGAGGAAGCATCTTGAACTGTCGAAGGGTTGATACCTTTTTTCATTTCACTATGAACGAATCGAATCTGAAACCAAAATTCTCGACCCTTGGAGTTTAGGTTGGTAGTGGCAACCTCTCCACCTGTTAACTCAGCTAAATCCTCTCCATTGACCTGGACAATGTATATGAGAAAACAACCAAAATTAGAAAAGATTGAAACTAAGAGCACTAAAAATAATTTTTATTAGAATGATAATAACAAACCTGAAACTCTACAGGCCTTTCAGTCCTCCCAGTTTTAGAGATTTCATCACACTACAGGGTTGACAAAAGAAAAATAAAACCTCCCGACAAAGAAACACCATTATAAAGAGATCACCACATATTGTATCAATATTAGCCGTGAAAACCTGGATGTAAGGAAAATATATATCCTTAAGTCTGCACTGAAGTTGATATATTTCAGGAATCTTACATTCCGATTCAAATATCTCAACCTGGAAATAAAACAGAATAGCAGTTTCAGATAAGCAGATGCATATTATAAATAGAGGTCCATATATTAAGGGCACGCATGAGAAAGTGGACATATGGTTATAGGACTCTAGAACAGCGCCAAAAATTTTAATTTATGCACAATCTTATCATTAGAGCATAATGATGCAATAATAAAGTATCACTGAAGGTGATGAATAAACAAACATGGAGATAATTTTGTTCAAAGTGATAAACTCAAGAAATCCAACTGACTCAGAATTCAGGAGAACATATGTCCCCAAAAAAGTAGGAACATAATATATGGTTTGTACCTTTGTGAAGCTTCCATAAGGAGACAATTATACATAGCAAAAAGCCAAAAAACGATATAATATAACTAACCTCATACATAATAGAAGCCTCTCCAGACCCATCCTGGTCCAGAGATTAATCAAAGAACACATAATTAGCTAAATCGATACATAAAAGCCGAGCAAGTAGCAAAATGAAAAGATTAAAAAAAACCAACTTACATCAAGACGTATTATATTGCAGAAATCAGGCTTAAACTTCTCGAATCGAATGATTTCTTTAATCTTTTCACCGTTAAACTCGAGATATGATTTAGCAGCCAAATTCCAATCAATCCGCTTCCTCATCTTACCAGGCAAGATACAATTTTTACGGGTTTTTTCATATTCCTCTTTCACCAAGTTAACAAAATTCTTCATTGACATTTTATTAGATTCAGGGTTAGTAAGTGTGAGTGTCACACTTGTGCTGTTTGGTAAAAGAATCTTGAGCCTGTAAAACTTATCTTCATCATCATCTAGACTCAATACTCTCTGAGCCGATCTCTTTTTACTCATCTGAAATTCAAAAGACATGATTCAGAAGAGAAGCTACCAAAAGAAAAACTCATGGATACGATTTTTATCATTTCATAATAAAGTTTTTTTAGTAATTGTGTTAACAAATGTTTGGTGACTTAGACAGCAAGTAACTAAAAGCTACATCTACTAAATACAAGTGCCTATAAACACCACACTTAGAAGAAAAAAAGGTCGAATATTTGTGAGAAAGAAATAAACAGAATCTATGTAGATTGATTTGCATGTTATATATTCAGTAAAACAAGCCAAAATGGGAACACTAAATTGTTTCCAAATAACAAGTTTTACTTTACTCGTAAGAGAGTAGGTAGCGGTGAAGAAGAAGAAGAAGACAATATATCACTTAATAGCATTATCTACACATTCACATACATTACCATCCATGGATTCATAAGAGAAGAAGATTTTCAACAACAATAGACCACATGAATATATTTATAGACTTAATTACAACCTTCAGATAAACAATTCTTAGGTTTTGGCAGTGAAATTAACTTCCGATACCTTAGATTTTGCAGACTGGTTTATTTTTCAGTAACCCACCAAATGCTAAGAAGAGAAAAATCAGAGAGAACTGAGAAGAAGAAGAGAAGTGAGAGTGTTGGGAAAATAGGAAGAGGAAGAGTCAAGGTGTGAGGTGAGTAATGAAGAGTCGGAAAATTATAAAATGGGAATAAAATGAGTTTAGTTGGTTATTTTTGGGCTCCATTACCCAAGACGAGCAAAAGTAGATGTGAAATGTTCAAGAAAACTTAAAACGAAGAATTTTTGTGTGTTTTGGATAAATAGTGACGATGTTATGTGTGATCATCATCATTAGCAGATTTATTACTTGAATCTTTTCTATGATATCTTTCACTCTATGCAGATTTAAAAGTTTACTCAAGTACCCATAACTTTAGATATTCACAGAAGTACCCAGAGCTTTTGATATTGTTGGCAAAACACCAAACCTTTTTATATTTACCAAAATATCCAGAACGTTTAGTAGTAACTACCGAATTGCTCCAAATTTTTAGCTATTTACAAAAGTACTTTTTAAAAATAGAACCTAAGAATAAGAAGAGTCTGCCATAGCTGTAAAATGTTGGTATTTCTCATTTGCCTTCTTCAACTTTTTCACCACCTTACGCAACTTACAATTCTCCTCAGTCATCATCTGCTCAACCTTTCTCTTCTTGTCTCTTGTTATTTCCAGTTGCACCAATGTCTTCTCTTGCCTCTCCGTTACGGTTATTGGAAAATGAACTTCCGGTGTACTGACATAAGCCCAAAAAACAATCATCAACACTCACAATAACCAAGACAGATTAAAAAAAAAAACTGAAATGAGTTTCTAGGCTTCCAAGCTTTAAAGTTCCAAACTTAATAATTGAAATGAGTTTTTAAGGATAAAGAGAAACTGCATGTACCAGCAACCGGAGTATATGAAACCATTTTCTCTGGCGATCACACCATCTAGAGACACGGCATCTCCACCATTGATGTGAGGAAGAGCTGCTTCAAGGTGCTCTCCAGTCTCATATACCTGCAACTCTCCAAAAACTCCATAGAACAGCGTCTCCCTAAGCCCGAAACCCGAGCTTGATAGTATATTCAGCTCCTCTGAAGCTAAATCTATCATGTTCACGGCATAGCCTTTGAAGCCCGGTATAGGATCTCCATTCGGCAGGTATGGGTTATCCATGGCTAATCTCTTCTGAGGATCATTCTTCACAAGTCCGTTCCTCCAAGGTCTGCATGTTTTGAACCAGAAAACATTTGGCTAAGCAATAGAGTAACAGGAAATCCAATATCAAAGGAAGAGTACAAAAATACCTAATTGCATCAAGACAAATAACTAGAAACCGATTGGTGATAGATCGTCCGAGGCTAGCTGCTTCAGATTGAAGCTTGCGATACTCATCGCTTTTGGGTCCAAATTGTGATGATTTGCACACCAACGAAAGCATTGTGTCTTTCCCCAAATATTCAGACAAAACCCTGTCATACCAAATAACTTAGGAAATTAAAGATTTGCCCCCAAATGTATAAACTATGAATATGGTCAGAAAAACTGTGGCTATAAAATCGATGTCACCTGCTTAGTGACGTGGGGGCAACTGAACCGAGAAGCGCTACTAGGCCAAACATTCCTTTCTTTGACAGCAACAGAGACTGTGGAGGCGGAGCCTTTCTGTACAGACAACAGAACACTGATGCTGCAGTGTCATGATGCTTATCTTCGATTTGCTTCATCATTAATTCTTTGGTAGATAGGCATTCTGGAAATGATGCGCCAAGAGGTTCCAGAGAAGCTGAGATGAAATTCACATGAACAGGTAAGATTTGCCAGTTTATGCTATGATCCGCCATTCTTTTGAATTAGAAAATTGTTGAAATAAGACATATTCTAAGAAACATTTTGTGAAACTCTTCATGAAATATGAAGCATCTCAGAACTAAAGATGTGGGCAATGTTTTAGACACCAAATTTAGGGATAGTGTTTCAAAAACAGAAAGCAAATGAATAAATAGCAGTATAGCACCAATGCATCATAGTTATCAAACGTTGACAAATCAAGATAATAGTTACCTTGCAGTCTACTACACTCTTGCTCAACATGTTCATGTTGATCCTGCAAACATTTTAGGCGCTTATCTAATTCAACTCGGAGTTCTTCGTCACTATTGATTGTTTCTTTTAAACTCTGCAGTAAGAAAGGAAAATTTTCAAACATGCGGCTGAGATGAACTCGGAATACAAAAGCTAGATCATTCTAGATGTTTTTTTTGCTTGCACTAAGGTATAAATGACAGAGAAATATCAATATTTGCCGCTTAAAGGGTGATGGCCATACCTCAGTGTACTGTGCTATATCCATCAGGCCAGTTTGGCTACTGAGAGCCAATGATGATGACCTAATGGCCAAAACTCCAAACTGTGAACATGGAGTCGCCGGTGGATTTGTAATTGAAGGCATCCCTGATTCAGGTGGTGGAGTTGCTCTTGAATGCGGTGTCGAATACCCAATCTCATCTCTGTCAAATGTGGGAGCACATGTTACCTAAATCCGAAAATTGAATACAACAGAATCAGAGCGACATAGTGAGTTAGCACGAACTTGAACTGAAAATTCTACCCATAGTAGAAACATATTGCAGTATCTACCCAATTCACAATTAGTAAATTACTACCTTTACGCTCATATGCAGCTCGGGATATCGAGAATGGAACACCCTGTAAGAAAAGACACCCTCGTTCTCAGGTAGGGAAAGAGAAGGCACTTTGCAGGAACCGTGGACAAAGGCATATCTGATTGCACTCTCAACGCTTCTTGAATCAGATTCAATGCACATTGTATGGAAACACCCGGATTTTTCGTCATGATGGATGTGAGTATCCAAAGAACCATCTGAATCCGTCACTTGGAAGATGAGGTTCACGAGATTTGAACCAGCAGCACAGCAGTCGGGCAGCTGATCAATGCAAACAATTTCAGGATCAGAAGAGAGTAGAGAGACAAGTTCCTGACGAAAGCTTGGTGGCAAGAAACAAAACCAAACTGCACCAAATGAATCTTTACCTCGGTTACAAGTCTTAGCTCTCGTTCCTCAATTTGAGACTCTTTCCTGAAGATCACTTCATCACCAGACATTACAGAGAGTGATACTGTAGAGAAACAAAGACGCTAGACAATCAGCAAATCATCATAAAGGGAATGACACCGGAAAAATATAGAAATTGAAAAGATCACATTACCAGATTTCCCATAGCCTTCTGTGACCTTAAGAATGCCAGAGAGATCAATGCAGCCACGACCATCAACCTATCAAATAATGAAAGAACTTTAAGAGTCAATAAAACCAAAACCCAAACCATTTAAGAAACTGCGTCATCCAAATAGTGATACAATGGCGAGAATACGATATACTACATAAATGCACTCAATAAGTCAGACAGAGGCTCCTATGCTTTACTAGAATAAACTTCTCACACCTTACGGTTGATGCCCATCCAGTCTTCAATACGATAACCATCAATATGTATCAGAACATCGGACCCCTCTGCAACATGGTTATTATATCCATCGAACATCTGCATACAAATTAAGGTCAACTTGATTCGAAGGAAAAAACTGATTTCTGTTTAACAACATGCATAAACCGATATTATATACCTCCAGGATCAAATCTTCGACAGTGGAATCTGGAAGCAAATTTTCCAAAGCCTCGGGATTATTCACAGCAACTCGTTTTAGAGGCCCAGGATTAACTGAAACAAGAAAATTCCGTTAGGGAAAACAGTTTCTACATAATATAAACATTAATGGTTGATTTTGCATGTCCTTACGATGTCCCTTTGACAAATAGATTACAAAGCGTAGACTAAACTCCCTAATTACATAGCTATCAGAAATCTTCAATTTTCTCAGTTCTATAAAGAGAGCAGAAATTACAGAAAGCTCCCTAAGTTAAAGTAACATAACTGAACGATACACTCTGGCTCTGATTTTATTTCGGGTGTAAGAACATCTCTGATGAGTCTTTTGTGAAATTTAAGAAGGAAAGCTCCCTAAGTTAAAGTAACATAACTGAACGATACACTGTGGCTCTGATTTTATTTCGGGTATAAGAATATCTCTGATGAGTCTTTTGTGAAATTTAAGAAGGGCGTTTGCATATAACCTTATAAAGACCAATACTAGAATTAAAGCTTACCTTTACAAGGAACCGAGACAGAGAAAGGCTTGTCCATTGCTCGTATCTCTAGTGTTGCTTCATAATTAGGTCGGATCTGGTCTAACCCATCAGTCTCAACGAGCATATTCTGCATTAGATTCAGAAAATCAAGAAATTATGTATCGTTACCAAAAAAAAAACCTACCGTGGATGGAAATTTTCAACTGCCTACACTATGGACTGTATTTAGTATCTATCCTCGCTTGACATTAAACAAAATATAATCATAACGTCAGTGCTTAAACCAACCATGGAAGTAACAATATACCTCGATTTTCAGAATTGATCCATCGTTTATCAGGTTGGTCTCAATTTTATCAATTTTGATTAAGAATCCAGGGTTAGCTTCCAGTTCAACTTCCAGGCTTGGAACAGAAGAGAACTGAATCTGGTTTTTGTACTCATCAAAGCAAGCTATACGGAAAGGTGGAAGAGAAGAACCCACCCTGTAGAAACACCATATATTGATCAAATTCGACAATCTAAGATTTAATGTGAAGGAAAATGAGAAAGGTCGGAGGTATATAAATTCCATTTCTAAGAAGATTATGAGTCTTACCGAACATTGCACGGAAGGGACTCCAGATTATCGTCAAGTTCCCACCTTGCTGCCTTAGAAGAAGGTCTAACAACCACCGTTTTGTTGCACTTAATTGAGTTGCCCTGAAGATAAAGTGTTTGGGCAATTACATTATAAGATTACTTGAAAAAATAACTGGCAGTCAGTTTAAATTTATCGGACAACTCTTTAGAACAAAATTTCAGATACAAAAAGAAGAGCATAGAAAGTTACTTACAATGGAGAAAGAAAATTTGTAAGAGCCAGCTTTCTTGAAAAGGTTTGGAAACTTGGACCCAAGTGGGAAGATGTAAAGACCACTAATCCCTTTACGGGATGTAGGAAACATGCGCTGCGAACACACAGGTTTGACATTCTTATCACTCGATTTCAATTTTACTACCATGACCATTTCTTCCCCATCCATCTTAACAATATGTTTCTGGTCCAACTTCTTTGAGGGAGTTGAAGACGTGAAGCATGCAGGTCGGACAACTGCAACAATCTGTTTCGGGGTAGCTTTCCCAGCACGCACAGAATCACCAACCGGTAGTTCCTGTAACATATTGATACATAATGTTACTATCTGTGATAAGCGTGTATGAAATACAAAGGTGCTTAGTTTTGTGGCAACAATTTGGAGACGAAAGTGCTTACTGCTCGTTATATTTGTTTGTTTGCACGCAAAGGCAGTTGACACTTGACACCAAACTCTATCACTTAAACTGACTATAGTTTATACTAAATAAAGAAACGTTCATACCCCATCAATTTTCAATTCTCTGCAATCTCTCTCATCCAGCAAATCAATTTTTGACGGTGCCTTTTCCTGTTGCTTATCAAGTTTTCTATTCCATTCGTTTGCATCTACATGTAGGCACTGTACCAAAAAAATTCTCAGATTGAAACCATTTGCTGTACAGAATAGGAGAATAAAAATAAAAAGAAAATGGTAATAGTTAAGTGATTGACCTTTCCAGAGTCGATTATAGTGATAGGTAAAGATAAAGAACTCCGAACTTCCAGTTTCGAAATTCCGTCGATGATTGAAAGCTTGCATCCCTCATTCTCAGGGCGATCAATTGGCCTAAAATTAAAGCTATAAGATACATAACTAGCATTGAGTATACAGAAACTAGTTAAATGAAAAAAGAAAATTACCTGCATAAAATCCGAGTATCCCCTGCGCAGAAGACACATAAAAACCGTCATCTCAGCTGTAGCGACTACAAAAAATATTCTATTTGTAGTGTAAATGATGGTGTAGATAGTACTAACCGCCTGCTTCGTCCTCAAACCCTTCTATTAGGAAATAGTCAATGGTGGCGTACACATTGTTATTGTGAACCCCAGCATAAGCTCCTCTCAGAATCTTTATATTCTGACCACGTTTCCATGACATTCCTTTTCTCGTAACTTCCTTGTGCACCCTCACAGCTACAGCTCAAGCATTGGAGGTATGAGCACCCAATCCATACAAGGAGATAAACTTGAAATATATGGAAAAATCCATTTAACGAAATCCTCAAGTGTGTTTCTACTACAACATCAATGTTAGTAAAAATATTTGGATATATGAAAATGCTTAGAAAACATGCATTTTGAGGCGATAGCTTTCCAAACAAAGTTTATTTATCGTCCACGATAATCTAGTACATACCATCACGCAAAATGCCAAGGGCCTTTTTATCCAAGGATCCAACAATGAGGACAGCTTCATCTGCACCCGATGCAGCTTCTTCATCATGGGTATTATGCATCTCCAAAACCCATTCTTGATATTTTTCATCCAGATGCGCATAGCTAACAGATTTTCCTTCTCTATGAGTCACAATAGTGACATCTGTAAAAACAAGAATTCATTATAATCTAATTACGAAAAGTGGAAAAACATGATTGCAAAAGGATTTTAAACCGACCATCATCCTTCTCTTTCTCTGTCGATTTACTACCAAAGTTTCTTAAAGCCACTGAGAAAGGATTTTGGCTCGCAAGGTCAGTCTGTAAAAAGCTTGTTCAGTGATCAGATGATAATGTACTAAATGTGTTTAATAATCTAGGATTGTTTAGCTCACTTTGGAAGGCGTTGGGCTAAAACCAGCATCCAAATCTGCAACCACAAAGAGTGCACATTCTTAAACAAAAAATAAAACAGCTGTACATATACAACTGACAATGTATGAGCACTTCATACCAACAAAGCATATTACTCTTCGGCAGCCTTTCTGCAAAGTAGACGCTCTGTTTCCTCTTTGCATAAACGGTATTGAATCCTACATATTTATTGATAACACAAACAACACAAGAGTTAAAATCTTGTTTTCAAGCATATTCAGAGAACTTGCAAGCCCTCTACACCCTAAATAGCATGATAACGGTGACAAGAGATGACTAACCCAACGGACTTCTGGAAGTAAACGACCAAGCCTTCTTACTGAAACACGACCAAAAGTCTGGAAGCTTTCAGAAACTTTGCATCCTTCCTCTTCTAAACTCTCCAAAATTTTATCAATGTTTTCTTTTCCCTGCAAAGCTTCTAAAGTGTTCAGTTCGAGAAGGTAACCAAAGGTAATGATTGCTTCTTTAAAAAGGATTGTTATACCTGGACAATTGGAAAATAGACAAACTTAAGGCGAGCATTTGCCTCTTGATTTGTCCCTGTAAACACATATCTAATCAGAATCCAATGATGATAAACTCTTGGGATTGCAATTGTTGTACTTCTTTAAGTGTTTCTGTGTACAAACATGATATGGGCTCTCTAAAAATTCCAGTGCAAGAAGATTACGTATGTGTTGGCGGACCAAAAAACAACCACATTTTCATTATAAGGGGATTGAGCAATTTCTCCAACTCACCCAAACAAAAATATCTCTTCATTGGAAGATACCAACCGTATATTTAAATAGACTAGCTACCAGATACTGAGGCAAAATCAGCCAGGAGCTTAACTGATAGGAAACGTCTTGATCTGAAGAGGGGTTTTTACCTTTTCTTTTCCCACCGGTAAGAGTGAATCGAATCTGAAATGAATATACTTGACCCTTGGAGTGTAGGTTGGTAATGGCAACCTCTCCACCTGTTATCTCAGCTAAATCTTCCCCATTGACCTGAAAAAGTGAAAGAAGACCAGGATAAGAGTATAACCAAGACCACTTGAAGTAATTTATCTTGGAATAATAATAACAAACCTAAAACATAATTTACTTACTAGTGATAATCTAAGTATATATCAAACGAGAAACACAACTGATTAGCCAATGATGATAATAACAAACCTGAAACTCTACAGGCCTTTCAGTCCTCCCAGTTTTGGAGAGTTCATCACACTACAGGTTGATAAAGCAAATTAAATCAGTCACATATTATCAGAACCAAAAAAAGACTCACCAAGAAAATGGTCGAAGGGCAGAACTGTTAGAAAACATATATTAGCGATCAGAAACTCATCATTTTTTCCATATTTATAGCATTGTTTCAGGCATCACTGGATCCATGTAGACAATAATGTACTCTGGTTAAGGTTAGCATGCTTTAAGAACTAGTTAAAGCCATTAAAAATCCTAGCAATAAACATGGATTATGATATATTGTATTATAAATACCCTAAGTATACCTGGATGTAAGGAAAGTAAATATCCTTAAGCCTGCACTGGAGTTGATATATTTTTGAGATGTCAAATTCTGATTCAAATATCTCGACCTAAAAAGAATATAGACCAGCAGTTTTAGATAAGCAGTTGATATATGAGAATAAATATGAAAATATGAAGATCAAACTGTCATATGAGTTGAGAACAACACCATGAGGTTTCTGCACAATATATAGAACACACATAATACTTCCGATATAATCCAAGATGAACATTATTGATTACCAGTTTAAATTATAATAGATATCACTGAAGTAGATGAGTAAACAAACCATCAACATAACCTCACTTAAAAGCGATAAAATTCAAGAATTCAAAATATTTCAGACATAAGAAAGTTTTCCCAAAGAAAGTGAACTACTCACAAGTCACAACAAAAATATATCCATTTCTAACAGCAGGAATCTGAGGGTTAAGAATTGATTGGCAGAAACTTTTTCAGTGGAAAACATTTTCAAATTGATTTGTTTCTGCATCTATGATAGTATATATATATATATATATATATATATATATATATATATATATATATATATATATATATATAGAAGGTTATTTGTTTCTGCATCTATGATAGTATATATATAGAAGGTTATTTTTTACGTCATATGGGAACAAGGGCAGAAAATTTTGAAAAAGGGTGGACCTTTGTAAAGCTTCCATGAGGCGATAACTTCATTTCCTCCTCCGACGGGTCCCTCATGCCACCATCAGTCTATACAAGATATTCAGAATTCATTGTTTATGAAACATTGACGAGAACAAGAAAAAAACAAATGAGCTTAAACTTACAGATGAAGAATCATATTACCTTCCAGTTTTTTCCCAAGATAGACCGATTGTCAATCAAGGCTTCTTTCTTGAATTGCAAAGTGAACACTTTCTTGGAATCTTTTGTCTTAGAAGACACCAAAGTACGCCTGACAGAGAAGAGAGTTAGACGTAACAAGACAATGCAGACAATCATAGGTTGACCTCAACATTTATGGGTAAACAGAAGCTGAAGTCGCACCTTCCCAAGAACATAGAAGCATAAGGACCTCCGTATCCAAACATCCCAAAGTATGGCTACATAGAAAAAGAGTGAATCTTTCTTCAAATCAGTAAAATAACAGGTAGTTATACAGAAAGAACATTCCAAACTGAAACATGCCTACGGAGTTGTCCATATTTTGACTAACGGTACATAATTATCCGTCTAATATTTTAAACACAAAAGTTATAAATTGCAAGAACCTAATCTCTTTGCGACTAATGAATTACCTTAAGGTATGGTGGTTTGCCTCCAATAGCACCGGTTTTTTGAGATCTATGTATTGAGGCCCCTATTTTACCCCTGCACAATTTAAACCAAATGTGAAGAATGTTCACCAAAAAATCAAACCTGCAGTATCAATTGGAGTAAAGAACACTTGATTGCAATATCAATCTCAATACGTAAAATATGTGAAGTTGTTTTTTCTATAGAACCATTTTCTCAGTTCATAATCATAACCCATTAGCCGACCCAAGCGATCGTATGGGTTATCAATATCTTCCATGTTTAGTGAGAATTTGAATGAAACTGAAGAAATCATCTCACCATTTATCAATAGAACTTTCCTCGCTACTGTCCATTCCTCTCCCAGTATCAAAGACTGTAATCCGGTCACCAGAAATATCCACACTGCAAGATAATCACATGAATTGAAGGACTACACGAAATTTTGGTCATCTAAGCTCCTATGATAAGAACAAACCTAATCAGTTTTCGAGCTCCTTCACGAAAAGGCCAGACAGCTTGCAAGGAATTGTCCTGTGAATCAAGCAACAGAAAAATCAGGATGCCATATTAGGAATAAACGAGAAAGTTAACAGATGCAAAACCCAATCACAATAACAGATACAGAGAAATAATGTCAAAAATCGTTAGTAATTGTGAGTAAGTGAATCCATTGGCGAAAATTGCCGTTTAATGTGAAACACTGTATTTTATTTCAGAAATCAAACAAGCAAATACAACAATGTGAATCCCTAGATAATCATAACTGTTGGTTGCAAACATAAATCAGAAGATATATCTTCTTTTTTTATCCCTTGGGGAAATAGCTAGACAACATCCGCAAGAACAACCCTAGAAGTAAATTTTCCATGTAAAACTTTCAGAATATCAAGGTCAAATAATGTACGCAAGTTTATACAACAAGGATAAGATAGTGTGCATCAAGTTTACAACAAGGCAAAATGTGCACTCCGAACCAACACAAAACACATAAATTTCCCATCAGGCATTCTTTTCATGTAATTTTACTGAAACACTTACTATTAGATCAGCGAGAGCTGTCTCAAAGCTATAATTTTCAGGTAGTTCTTTAAGAAGATCAGTATCAGGTGTCAAATCCCATAAGTTCTGCAAAATAAGTGTGAACCATCATCACAGACCGACTTAAGGAGACAATGAGATGGCAAGCATATATGTTTCAGAATAAAAACACTAACCTCATACATGGTGAAAGCTATACCAGAGCCGTCCTGATCCAGAGATAGAAATTGAGGCAGAGATATCAGAAATAAAAAGATAGAAATAGTTCAGGCACATATCTCAGTTTCCTCCGGTCATTCTCATATAAAAAAGATATTATGAACAAATTTGAAACCAATTGTCAAAGACTGGGACAAAAAGAGAACAACTCACATCAAGACGTATTATATGGCACAAGTTGGGCTTAAACGCAGCAAAGCGAACAAAGCCTTTCATCTTATCACCATTTGACTCAAGATGAAACTTTCCGCCTGAGTTCCAATCAACCTTCGTCCTCTTAGACAACAAAACACAATCTTTACGCGCATTATCGTACTCCTTCTTCACCAGGTTGACAAAATTCTGCATCGACATCTCAGGGTCTGGGTTATTAACTGTGAGTTTCACACTAGTGCCGTTAGGTAGAAGGACCTTGAAGGTGTAGAATATATCTTCATCTTCATCATCATCATCAAGAATCAATGATCTCTTCACTGATCTTCTGCTGCTCATCTGAAATGCAAAGACAGAAACAACATGAAACTGAATAGCTTAGAATTACAATTTAGGCACGATAAGGATTACAGTGGAAGCTAAACATGGAAATCATTGATTCCTAAGAACACCAATGGATTCGTCACACAGCTATCGAATGGGCTTGTATGAAAATGGCTAAAGAATGGTTTTTGATCACTATTGATGACTTACTATAAAGAACCTACAAGAATTACAAGACAGACAGGTTATAACTTTGTCAATAACAAACGCATAGGCTTCTTAAAAAAAGCAGGAATTTAAGTAAAGAGAGTCTCGAAAAGGAAGAAGAAGAAGAAGAAGAAGAAGAAGAAGACAACATGGTAAGTAAAGTACTCGCATTTATATACACTGCAAGGATATGGAAGAAGACAGAAAAAAAAAATTGGGTACTTGCAAAACAGAGACTTTATGCAAACCTAACTCAAACCAAATCTTAGGGTTTAGTTGCCAAACAATTCCCAACCAAGCTTCGATTTTCAGAAAAAGCTAGACCCAGCAACAACAACACAGAGATCAGAGAGAGAGAGTGTGTATACCGTAGGTTCGGTGACTGATTTCTCTCCGACAAAACCCAGGAGACAAAATCTGACAGAAGAAAGAAGAAGATGAGAGTGAATCAGAACTAAGAAGCGGAAACGACCAAGAACAAAACCCTATGGATGGAGCCAAATATTTGTAGTTATAGTGGCGATCAAAGTATAAAGTTCACTTTTTTTTCTTAAGCTGTAGACGAGAAAAGTTTAGATTTTTTTCTTTTTCAAATCATAGTATTGCGAAAAATCAGAAAGAACCGTTGAAAATCTCAACACATTTCTCTGAAATCAACGAAAAAAAAAAACGAAACAAGGAAAAAAAAGTTGACCTTTATAAGAGAATTAAAAAATTCTGAAATCCTTATTCAGAAGAAACAATGGGAGTGATAATTTACCTTTAGAAGTTACTCTCTGTTTCTAAAACCCAGAAAAAAAGTGTGTTTTTTTGTTTGGAAGAAACAACAGAGAAACGTTTAAGAGGAAGAAGAAGAAAGAGTAGAGAAGAGGAAGAGACAGTGTGTGTGTGAGAGAGAGAAGAGAGAGAAGAGAGAGTAATGGGACTAATGGGTGTGAAAGCTTCGGGCACACGCAGTTTCTTTATCACACGTCATCACAATACTTTTTCTTCTTTTTATTTGTCGTCACATCAAATTACCCAAAACATTCTATTTACATTTATATCTTTAGCATTTAATTTGATATTTTTTTGAGTAAAAATTGGGAGTATAATCGTGTTCCTCCGATATGTCAACTCTGTAATGGTGCATCGGAAACAGTATCACATGTGTTGTTTGAGTGTACTATAGCGCAGCAGGTCTGGCTAAGCACGGGGCTACCTCTCTGGCCTGTTTCTGCGATGCACTCTGTTTCGGAACGGTTTGCTCATCTACTGAAATTGATGGAAAGGCAAGATTTGGATACAAGTGTACGTGAGGCCATTCCATGGCTCTTATGGGAAATTTGGAAAGCCCGAAACTCCACATTGTATGCAGCGAAGACCAACTCTCCTCAGTTTATTGTTGCAACGGCGTTGGAAGAGGCTAGAGAATGGCTACAACAAAACTTGGTGGCTCAACAGGATCGAAGCCGCAGCCTGAATCATTTTTCCACGGGAGAGAGAAGGTGGTCTAAACCAGCTCCGGGTAAGCTTAAATGCAATATTCACTCTTCTTGGATGAGGGATTCCTTTCACATTGGAGGAGCTTGGTTATTACGTAATCATCTGGGAGAGGCTGTTTTTCATGCTCGAGATGCTTTCCTCCCCATGGTCAACCGATTAGCTGCAGAGTTACATATTATCCTATGGTGTGTCCGAAGCATACGAGAGTTGCGTATAAGCTCTTGTGAAGTTTGGTCAGATTGCAAATCAGCTTTGGAAGCTTTAGCCAAACCGGAGGAGTATCCTAAATACCGTTCTCAGATTATCAAGATACAACAAGTGATACGGGTGATGCGGGAGGTAACTTTTCACCTCTCTTCACCGAAAGCCAATTGTTTGGCCAAGGAGATTGCTTGTAGTGTTACAAGGGACGGACGGTTTACTTCTTACCTAGCTAGAGGAGGTCCGGCATGGCTACATAACAGATTGGAGGAAGAACGCCGAGGTAGTATCTAATTTGATCATTGGTCTCTGGTTTGTAGCTCTCTGTTTTTCGATTTCGTTTCATCTTACTCTGTTTCTGGTTTTTGTAAGACTCTGTTACGTTTCTCTTTAATTTTCAAAGACGACAAAAAAAAAAAAATCGTGTTATTAACCTATTTTACTGACATGATATATGTGGACCGTGTTTATTGATCAAAAATATCTTTATTTTTTTTGTCACATAAAAAAAAAATGGTTTTAGTGGAACCAATGGTTTAAATATGTAAAAGTTGTTACATACAAGATAAGTACTTACTAATTTTCAAGTACTTGTGATTCGCTTTGGTCCATTTAAGTAACTGATTTTTGGACTTGATATTTGCCTTGTCCGAAGCAAGTACTGGTCCAAAAATCTGACTACTTACAAATAATTTGACTCGCCTTGTTACCAGGGCCGGCTCAAAAAATTTAAGGACCCTGAGCTGAAAAAAAAATTAGCCCTTATTTCTCATGCTTTTCAAAAAAAAAAATTTTGGACCCTAATTTTAGCAAATTTAGTTATGATAAAAGACACAAAATTACAAGGACCCTGTGCATGACCTACTTGTTACTTGCAAAATGATTTGATCCGGCTTGTTACTTGTGAGAGACTTGCTACTTGAACTAAAATACTTGAATATAAAAACAATCACATACAATAAAAATCTCAAAACATTCAAAGTTCTAATTTTTTTTTATCTTTTCAATTTGTATTTTTGTAAGTTATAAACTATAAATAGATAAATTCAAATAAGTTATTAAAGTTTTTTCTATATTAAAGCAAGTAACGAGCCAAACAAGTCGGGTAATGATTTTTTTTTCAAGACTTGATAGTTTGCTTGTACTTGCAAGTAAAAAAATTTTGATACTTGTTATCCGACTTGCCAACGACAAGTACTTGTTTTTTCAAGGCGAGTACGAGGTAAGTAGCGGATACGAGGCAAGTAGCGAGTATTTATGTCCAATCCTATGTATATGCATCCATGACAAATCACAACTATCAGTTTATCATATTCTTTGGAATTTTTCAGAGCTTGATTGGTAATCATAGTTTTAACAAGGAAATGGGGAGTTTGGTTGTTGTACCACTTGTAGTGCTTTATTTTTGTTTACCAATCAAAGCCATAGTATGTGATTAATGAGGCATCGAACCTAAAACATTTCCACCTCCTAATATTGATGTAACAATCACTGTCAATAGCTATCCAATCGAAAGTCCTTCTTTTTTTTTTTTTTTGATAACCCAGTATCCAGACCACACAGTGATCTGACTAGTCCACTGGGCCTAAGCCCGCGTCACAGGGATTTTTAAGCCTCCACTTAAGGGCCCCCTGATAAACTGGTGGTCTGGGGCGCCTGAGCAAGTCCGCAGGTAAATTCTCAGGTGGCCACATGAGTGAGAGAGCGAAACTGCGTCTGGGGAGGATCGATCCCTGGCCTAGATCAACAGGGCGATCCTTCCAACCAAACGAGAACCACTCGCCCACCACCATGTGGTTGATCGAAAATCCTTCTTGTCAGACGGACCTATCAAAATCTACACCGGATAAAATATTCCCTATAAAATACTTCTATAATCTCCCATCATGAAAGAGATTCAAATATATAATTCTACAAAGAAAAACCAAATCTCTACACCGTGAATCCCAACATCATTCCTTATATTATTTTTTTTGGTTTAAATTCCTCATATTTGATATCCTCCCAAACCTCATATAGGCTTTGTCAAAATCTTCTAGATTTAAAGATACATGATGATATGATGATCCAACAACTACAAAAAAAACTGTTAGTTACTATATGGTTTTAACTAAACTCAAAGAGAATCCATCATCAAAGAAAAACCTCAAACACCTTTATTCCAAAAAATCATCGGTTTTAATTTTAACCTTTAACTCTTTACAAAGTCCACTCTGCGTATACCAAGATAACGGAAAAGAGATTTAGTAAGTAATTAGAACAGAAATATACGACGCTGGTCTGACCGGTTCTTAGTTCCACCTTTCATTACATTAAAAGGAAGTAAACCGGCACTCCTCGGGTTTAATTCCATAACATGGTGAAGTTATACTGATCTGGTCTAAACCAACCAAACTGAGCTTACCGATATACTCTCCCATGATATCTCCGACAACGTATGAAATTCCGCAAGAAGCAACAACAGTAGACGTATAATAAGCCGCAGATTTGAGATAAGCTTTAGTCAATTCACGTGAGTTTGGCGGTTTTCGGACATAGACCTTGATCAAACCGAGCAAAATCACGCAAAGTAGAGAAACCGAGAAAACCGAGACGAGCTTGTAGTTCTTGATTCCAGTTTCGTAGAAGGAAAATGCGTAAACTAATGGAGGAATTAGGCCGAAGAAAATGTAAGACATGACCGCTACTAAGATATGTATCCGGAAATTAGCACGTCTCCCTAACAATTCCTCGTACCGATCTTTCTCTTGATCTGAATTGTTTATTAGATCTTGAAGCTGCAAGAAAAAAACAGAACCGGTTAAAACAAGAAAACCGCAAAAGCAATCGGTGGCACGAGAGAAAACGTTTTTCGGTTCAAGTAATTACGTTTTGAGCGAGGACGATGAGCCCACCGGCCAAATTTGCGACTGCAAGAGCCAAGATATTCACTGAAACAACAAAAAATTTAATAGACGAAATCATTATATAGTGTTATTATTTTTATAACAAGGACCAATTTGATGATTAGCCAATAAACTAATCTCGCATTTGTTTGCTAATTAATAAGAAAATGACGATTGGAGACTTACTGGTGGAGGAACCGGAGGCAGAGGCTGAGGATACAACGCCGAGGCTGGTGATGGTCTCGGTGAGACCGCCGTAGACTGTGCTCTTTAACAACTCAACGGCGAATCTTTCTCGGTCTGGTTGAATTTGAGGCAGTGACTGTTGAATACTATTCTTCACCTCTAAATTTACTTTAACTGCATATAATGTACAAATTTTCTTTGGATACAAAATAAAACCGTTGTTGATTTTTCCCAATTTGGAATCAATTTGTCTAGTCCAGTTTAGGTGAGAGAATTTCGTTTCAATTCACGATAACATACCTGGTTCCTCAACCGGTTTTCCCGTGATATAATCAAGTTGTAAGAACTTTGTTCCTGAAATTTAGAATCAAATTTATAAGATCAAGCAACCCGGACAGAATTGATTTAAGAACCGGTTTAGAAAAGTTTGATTTACCTAACCGGATTAAGTACTTAAGATCACAAGCCAAGCAAGTGAAGATAGTTCCCTCTTTATCTTCTTGATCATCATCCTCAATACGAGTCTCAGGGAGGACATGAACCTTAACCGGTGGCTCCATCGCTTCAATGTTGCTTGGTTCGTCTGGTTCAACAACCGGAACATTGGGTTTCAGATCCGGAGACGAATCAACGTGCTTCCCACTTTTCCTTTTCTTGAGAATCACTTTTCTGGTGATACATGAGTTACAGCTTGGACAGTAGAGCTCGTAGTTTTCTTGTGTCGCAAGCAACTTCTCTAGGTTTGACTTCTCTTCTGAACCCGGTGATGATCTCTCGTTCTTTTCTTCATCCTCTTCTTCTTCTATCTCACAATCTTCTCCGTTCTGTTGCCTTTCGTTCCCTACATTTGGTAAGTTTGTGGAGCTCGACTCTAACCAATTTTTACCATTTTCTTCGTTTGAACCGGTTTCTTCGTTTGATCCGGATTCTTCGTTTGATCCGGTTTGGCTGACAGTAGCCTCGTGTATTATTGGATCTGAACTGGAAAATACCGATGACGTGCTTTCACGAACATAATTGTTTCCTACGAGAGCAAGTAAGACCAAAATAAACGAGAGATTGGTCAACCGGTTGTGCAAGATTGTGCCCGGTTAAAGAATTAGGGGTAGTTTAAGAAATCCTAAAAGTAGTAGACGCAATTGTAATTTAAGAGATATAGAGGTACTAAAAATTAAAAGACAAAAAAACATTTAAACATGTATGAAAATGACAAGTTGACTATGTTGTACCTTGAGATCCATCATTGTCCTCTTCGACTTCGGTGGTGTTGACCGGCGCCGGCGCCGTCGCTGCCGCCTTGAATCGAAATTCTCGGGCGGGAACATTATCCTTACCATATCTATAGCCCTCAAGAAGATCAACCAAAAATTCTGCATCTACGAGTTCTTTCTCGCCGTCCTTCGATTCGGACCAGCTTGCATTAATTGGTCCGTTTGACTTTTCCATATCAATCCCAATGTAATGAAACCGATGCCAATGTTCTTTAAAGAGATTATGAGTTATGATGGAGATTTCAGATTTGTGACTCTTTTGTTTTTCTCTTTCAAAAAAATACAGGTGTGCCTTTTATCCACTCCAATCACATAAACTTTTATATACATAAATAATACCCACGAGGGAAGCACGAGGGGTTAAATATTTGTAACGAAATGACTTCAAATAGCTTTAAATTACTTTTGGAATTTGGTAATTATGGAATGTGTCAAAGTTAAGTAGCACTTCTTTTGCAACTTTAACCATGTTAGTAACTTAGTATATGTCAGTTTCGAAAAAAACAATGTGTTAATATGAGTCATAAGTTGCTATATTGATTAAATACAAACCATGAGAGTTCCACAACATTCGTTAAAATAATAATTACAGAAAAAAATGAATCTCACTCAATAGAATAATCTTGGGATGGCTCTTACAATTAACAAACTCATCATTATTGATATGGAAAGTGGGAACGTTAGAGTTAGACCATCTCCATCGCTCTCATACCCAAAAAGAGTGTCTAAAGAAAAATATTTTATTGTAATTTAATTTTGTAATTAATTGTTTTTCTGTTATTTTAGATTATACCAATTAAAAACTGACACAAATGCATATGAGTGTATTAGAGTTTCTGCAGTGAGAACTTTGAGACATTCTCCTCATCTTCTCTCCTCTTTTTTAAATTTTTTCTATTATTTAAATTAGGAGACACTCTAAAAAATTGTACCGATGGAGATGCTGTTAGTTGGAAATAACGAACCATATTCAAAAGGAAAAACTATGAAATGTACCACATTTCTCCAAAAACTTGCCAAATGTACCACATTCTGCAACTCCTTTCCAATCCTACCACATTTGGATTGTGGTGTTACGATTTTACCCCTCTGCGTTGGGCAGTTTTCGCGCCCAAGTGCTGCCACTGATTTGACAACGTTTCGCTTACCTATTAATCTCTCCTCCTCGGTCCTCGTGCGCTTTAATCATCCATCGATTTTTCCATTGAGAGGAAACGATTCCCTTCGTCTCTCTCTCACTTCCCCTTCATCTTTCTTCTCCTTATGCTCCGAAGACTGCTCCGAAGATAGAACAGGTAATTTTCGCTGTCAGCCTATCTGCATGTAACTTCAATTGTTTTTGTCCCCCAGTTCTAATATGCGATTTAGGTTGTTAATTCCCTTTTGTTTATTTTTTTGTCCTCATCGGAGTTGGATAATTTTTAGTCCCTCTTATATTAGGGTTCTGTCCCTTGCCATTCCCCAAATCGATTTCTGACTATTTTTTTCCCTGTTGCAGATGAGGTCCTCCGCTGGTAATTTGAAGCAAAAGTCGCCGGTTGGCAGATCCAGGCCATCGGTTTCGTTTGAAGACGACGACGACCCTTTCGTCTCCGCCAAATCAACACCGTCCCACTCTAATCCTCCAAGCCGTCCGGTTATCCCTGAACCGGACAGGGAAAAGCTTCCCAAAAGGCTTTACGCCACTGATTGCTACCCGCCTATAGGTCGTATCAATGCTTACTCTAAGCCGGAGTATCTTCTCGATCTTGTCGAGATCTTAGAAGGTACTAAAGAGTTAAATTATCTCCGCGCTTCATGCTTTGGTCCTCTGTTTCAGCTTCCTGTCCGCCGATGTTCTTTTTCCGGCAAATTAGTGCATCAGATGTTGTGTAGAGGCCTCTACACAAAGAAAAAACACGAGCTTTGGTTTGTTTTCGCCGGTCAGCCGTTCTGATTTTCTTTAAGAGAGTATGCTATTCTGACTGGGCTTGATTGTCGGCCGTACTCAAAAAGATCCGATATATTGAAGTCGCAGCAAATCATCGAACCAAAAAATCCTTATTGGAATGTTCTCATTGGTGAGGAACACAAGGTTGTCCTCATTAAGGACATCGTTGAATGGTTGAGGGCAGACAAGATGAAGCCCAAAAAAGACAAGATGGACGACTGGCGAAGGCTTCGTCTCGCGCTTATCGTCATCGTCGAAGGGATACTGGTCTGCAGTTCCCAACCTGTCAAAGCTTCGGTACAAGTTGTTGAAATGGTTTCCGATTTGCAGCGTTTTGAAGCGTTTCCCTGGGGACGTGAGTCATTCCTTCTCACAATGCGAATGGTTAAGGTCAGTTCGAAGGTTAGCAGTCTCGCAGGCCTAATTGTGAAGTTCAACCAGTCTCATTCTTCAACCCACGGGTTCCCTCTTGTCTTCCAACTGCTTATGCTCAAGGCCATCCCCGAGTTTGAAAAATATCTTCCTAATCCTGATGATACGCAGACCATGGGTGATGGGTCTATCACCACTTTGCCTCCGTTGAAGACTTTTCACAACTCCAACATAATGGAGACAGAGCTGATTGAGGGGGTAATGTCTCTTAAGCTTTATAATTTTTCAATCTTTTCGTTTGTTATTTGATTAATGATTGTGTTCAATGCAGTTGGATATTGCCCCCCTGTTGCCTTGTGACGATCCGCCTCACCTATCGATCAACGATTGGGGCGATGAAGTCTCTGACCCGGCTCTTGACTATATGGAAAGTCTTATCGGTCGCGGATACAAGTTCAAACGAGGGGACTGGAGAGGTGGGTGGCGTTCCTGGCCGCCGATAGTCGTTGATCAGAACCTCAAAGAAGACAATGTTCGCAAGCCTAAGAAGGTGTCTTTTAGGCGTCCAAACAAAAACTTTGAAATCCCTGAGACATCCCAGGGTGGTCCATCAAAGGGTAAGGGGAAGGTTACTGAAGACGAAGATATCTGTCCACCAAAGGGTCCTGAGGGACAGGATATTCTATATGCTCTGATCATGGAACATGTTAATGCGAAATTTCGTGAATTGAAGGATGAATTGATTGTTGAGCTTTGCCGGAGGGTAGGTGTTGAGAAGTCTTTGATGAAAGACGAACTCTTAGACGAGATCATTAGCAATCTGCGCCATGGGGGTAAGTTTCCAACACCTTCTAGCGGTGACGATATTGTCCCCCCCCCCCCAAGAAATCTTTCTCACCAGGTAAGGACAAGGACACTGGTGGACATACGTCTGTCCCCTCAACAGAAGCTGGTGGACACACTTCTGTCCCCTCAACTGAAGCTTCCTCACCAGGTACAAGCAAGGGCACAATTGGACAGACATCTGATTCAACCCATGTCCAGATAGATCCTCCTGCGCCACCTGGTCCTCAAACCCCGTCTTTTGGTTTGGATCAGTCGAAGGGGAAAAGCAACACTCAAATTTTGGAGGAATTTCAGAAGCAAGCCTGGTCTGAATACGGCGGATTGTCTGATGTTTTACAAAACATTAGCCAGTCTTATGCATCTCCCTCTGGTCCTACTGCTGGTCTATTTGCGTCTGGTCCTTCTGTTTATGTTCCTTCTGGGACTGGTCCTTCTGCTTTTGGTCCTTCTACTGATGCTTCTACTTCTAGTCCCTCTACGGCTGGGGTGTCTACACCGAAGTTCTCTGGTGATCACAATGTAAGTTCATGTTTTCGAATTTTGGTTGTTTGAATTTTCTTTATAGCTTCCTTAATAACCCCATTTCTTTCATCTTATTCAGCCCAAAGACTTCCAAACGCCATTGCCTACTATACACGAGGACAACGCAGACGAAATGGAGGACGAGATGGTTGTAGATGAGGTTTGTATTATATTATCCTTTTTTATTAGTCCCCTTAAAAAAAATGGAAATTTTTCAAAAACAGTTTGTAACAGGTCCTCGATGCGAAGGCTGCTAAAGAGAAATTTTCTCATGATCACAACGTAAGTTTAAATAAAGACTTGAGAAATTGTTTATTTATTTTCTTTTTTTTGAATTTCTTTTCTTCTTTACTTGTTGTAGCCCAACGACTTCCAAACGCCTCATCAAGATATAGAGGATGATGAAACTGAAGAATCTGAGGATGGCGAAAATACGGACCAGGTTTGTCTGTTGCTCTGCTCTGCAAACATATATTTCTGTCTTTCATGTATATGATCCATTCTTCTAATCACCTATTAACAGGTCCCTGTTGAGAAATCCGTTGGTGGGTCTGAAAACGTCGATGTTGTTGTTGATTGTGAGGAGAGAAAAGAAGATGTAATTGGAAAGTCTGTTGGTGTGTCTGAGACTGCTGGTGAGGATGTTCTTCGAGAGGACAAGTCTCGTTCGGGGGACGATAGTAGTGATGGGAGTCATGGGGTATCTGATCCCGAGGATGTTCAAGATGACGAAGATGTAGTACAGGCGGAGGTATAATTATTTCCGAAAACTAAACCTCATTTGATTATGTTTTGTCCCTGAAGATATCGTCTCCATATTATTAGGCAAACAAAGCATGGCCGCCAGAGCTTTTTAAATCTCCAAAAGCTGCTGATGTACAACAGGTTGACAGTCAAGAGGTATGTTTATCTTAATTTAGTCCACTTTTATGTTTTCGAGAAGAAAATTGCTGGTATTGTTTCCTAACAATTTATGTATGGATAGCCTAATGCTGGTGGTGGAGTGGCAAAGTCGAAAAAAAGAAAACATTCTTCTGTTGGTGATGGTGTTGAAGGGAATTCTTCTAAGCCGATGCTCCCTTCCAAAAGGGCAAGGAATAAACCCCAACGTTTCCGTGACCCAGTCCAAGAAGTCACAGGGACCAACAATGATCCGCAAACAACTGATGATGTCCTGCACCCAGTTGCCAAAGTTAATGATGAGCTCCGGAAAAAATTCCTGTCCTCTCTCAAAAATTATCGCAGCAGGTATTTTGTATTTCGTTTCCCCATTACTATATTTTTCCTCTTTTTTTTAACAAAGAGTTTATTGAAATTTTTTTTTATTTTCCATCAATGCTCTCAGGGAGTTCGTTATTGATGGACACGTTGTCCCCAAGTCTTTTTTTAAGGATATGCACACTCCGCAGCAACCTGTCCACCAAGAGGTACGATTTATTTAATCTAATGATTTATTTATAGCTTTTTTTTAAATTACATGACCTCTAACTATTCTGGTCCCTATACAATCCAGCACATCGATGCCATGCTAAGTCTTTTGGCGCGGAGGTTTGGTGATGCTTTGGTCCAGGGTAGGGCTGCTATACTTGATTCATGGTTTGCCCTGAATCTTTGCGACCTCTATCCTCGTTTCAAGAAGTCTAAAACCAAATCTGAGTGGGCGTGGAACAGTAAGATAAGGGACTACGTCAGAGGAATAGTCCCCGGGAGATTCATGAGACAGGCTTGGTTCGCCGATGTGGACACTCTGTACGCGCCTTTTCATATGTCTGGCGGACACTGGGTTGCGCTTGTCATAGATTTGAAAGATGGGACCATCGCTGTACTTGACCCTAACGAGGGCGCTGAAACCGCCAAACAGATGGACCAGCTGATGAAACCTCTGCTTGTCTTGCTTCCTTTTATCATCAAAGCGCTTGTCCCCGAAGCTCACCTCGTCAATCAGCAAGTCCCCCGTGAGTTCGTCTATGATTGTCTCCCTGAAATCCTCCAATGCGAATATGAAGACGACAGTGGTCCTCTTGTTGCGAAGTTTATTGAACTTCATTTCCAAGGCATTAACCACGACACCATACCCCAAGATGATTTCGTGGAGAATGTCAGAATGAGATTTGCGGTCGACATCTTTGAGGAGTTTGTTGAGCCTCTTCGAAATTGATGCCCCTTTCAATATTTCCGTCTAAGAACTTATGTCTTTTGTATTATTATTTACTCTATGCTTTTCTCTATGCTTTTGTCTTCTTGGATGTTTAGGAATTTCATATTTTAAAACTACTTTGATGCTTTAGGAAGGGAATTTGGTTTTGACTAATATAGCGTTTCCCCATGGTTTTAAAACTACATATTTTTTTAGGATTTTACTTATATATATCATAGAATCCATGGACGGTACACTCGTCGTCCCCCGGTTACAACTATGGACGAAGTTTTGGCTATCAACCTGCTTTCCTTTTACTCGTCGTCCCCCGGTTAAAACCAGGAAACTAGATATTTAAATATCCAATAACAGTGTCAGAATCCAGCTGCTTTCCACTGTTCTCTCCCCTAATACCTTACGTTTCCCCATGATTTTTGCCTTCTGTGTTATCACATCAGCTAAAAGGTACCTTTTCTAAATTTATATTATTTTTTCAAGATTATGGGGCCTATCTGAAATCCTCTATTTATCTCTCTCCGCCTTAATGTTTTCTTCTGCTACTTAATTATCCTCTTTTCGACCTACCATCATCTTACTCCATACAGCTTACTCCATCATTTCGACCTACCATCATCTTGTTTCCCACTGAATATGGGCCTGCATAGTTATACCCAGCCATCCATGAATTCTTCCCGAGAATCTCTTAGTTCTTATGGACCTCTTTATCCGTCGCCAATGCCCCTTGAAAATCTTGGCATTCCTCGTCACTGTTACTGCGGAGGGACTGTCGTTCTTGCGAATTCTCTTTCTGAAGACAACCCCGGTAGGCAGTTCTATCAGTGCGAGAAGAGGGAGGTAAGATTTTTTTCCCCTCTTTACTATATTCGTTGAATGATTCGATCTATTATACTTACATTTGCTCTCTTTGTATACAGGACCGACCCGGGCGCCATCTTGTTAAATGGTTGGACGAAGCGTTTACTGACGAGATTTCAGCTTTAAAGTGCTCCATTAGGGAACAGGAATTATACCTGAAGTCCTTACTTGTTGCCCCTAACGGGGACCACATTGATCTTCCACTGATGTGCGATCGGCTTGACCTTTACCAGGAAGACATTAAATCGCTTCAGCATACTGTTGGTCTCCTGCAACGCTCCCCTCGTTCCATTGTCGACGTCATTCGTTTATGTCCTCCAAAACTCATTCTCGTCCTCGCGCTTATAGCCGCCTTCATGCTTGGCACTTATGTGAAGCATTCATAGCTATAAGCTATTTTTTTCATCCTTCGGCTATTATGTCTCTTATGTTGACTTTGGCTATTATGTCTATTATGTTGTCTTCGGCTACTTGGGCTATTATGTTGTCTTCGGCTATTATGTCCTCCAGTGTTGTTATATCGGGGGACTCACGTGATATGTTTGTCCCTTTTGTACTTGTACCCGAATTAAAATATTAAGGATGATATTTTTTTTTATTATGAGCCCCAGAAATTTTTATCTCCATGTCCCCAAATAAAAATTTCGAAGCAGCTATCCCTTAGAATAGTAATTTACCTAATAATAACAGAGGTCTTGTCACTTATATTAGTATTTACTATACTACATTCATTGTCCTCACCTACTAATTCCAATACTCTAACAACAGCCCTTTAATTTTGTATAGGTTTTTGTCACTTCTAATTTATTAGTTACTTTTCCACATTCAATTGTCCCCAACTACTCCCTGTATTGTCCTCGCGCATTATTATCTTCTGTTAATAACTTCTATATATAGTTATTGTGGCTATATGGAAACCAACAGTCTCCATACTGCCAACATGTTTTTCTGGCAAAAGCTTCCCAAACATCTTAGGCTTGCGATTGTCCTTCTTGTTGGTAAGTCATGTTACCGGCACTTAGGACCGCTAATTCTCTCTGGTAACTCTGGCCGTCGTCTCGCTCTTGATCCTTATGTTTTGCGGGAGACTTCTCTGGCTCTCCTTGAAGCGCATCCTCAATATATTTTCATCGGTTCACCCATTCACTTGTTTGTTTTACGGTGTGTAAAGGCTGGCAATCCCGTTGCTTGTTACTTAGAGAGCATTAGGCTCGCTGCAGTCGATGGGTTAATAAAAGAAGCAATGGACATGCTCGCTCTTTTACCCGATCCATCCCCCAAAATCCTATTCACGAAGGGTCTCTATCTTGTTTCTGTAAATCGACCTATCGATGCCATCACCGCCATGAATCTATTCAAACACGAAGTTGTTTCTTCCCGCAACGCTGCTCGTGTGTCCACGCTTGTGATGTCCGATATTAAGAAGATTGCCCCTGACCAACTTAGATTCAACTGGACCGGCTATACCTGCTACTTGATCCATCCCCCTCGTCGATATTCAGAATGTTCCAAATGTAATTTTTGGAACCCCTGTCCTCTCTGTGTTAATTGGTGGGTCTTATGATTTATTTTTTTTTCTTTATATGGTCTCCCATCGCTCTTTGTCTTCGGTCTTCGGAGACCTATTATATACTAATTTTATATATTGTTTGTACGAATAAGCTGTGAGATGTGCTTGCAAGTTTCTTTATATTACATCAACTTTCCACATACTACAAGTCATACTACATCCATTTACCAAAATCTACCATTTGTTTTCCATGGACCAAAATATGCCATTTATCACCATATGGACCAACAACTAATTTCCGTTAACAATCCATAGTACAAAACCAAAAAAAATCCGGGAATGGCTTCTAACCCGCAACCTTAGAGAGGATTTTTGCAAGTTGCTCTATTGTGGCCATCCTGTCCACACGTAGTGCATTTGTTTGGTTTCTTCTTTTTCCAACTTGCACCCTACACATCCATGGACACAGTTTGTTAGATTTTATTGAAAGGACGAAATCGATTATTATTAAATTGCCCTACTTACTTGTTGCTCTCCCTGCGATGGTATACGTACTGTCCTAGGTCTTCCGCCTGGTCTTCTTGTTTTTGGTGGAATCACAACCACCTCACTAATAGTGTTCGGGACCTCGGTGTCCTTTTCCTTTGGCGGAGGTAGAATATGCTCACGCCATAGCTTACGCCACTCCGTCACGAATGCATAGTTCCCGACCAGCGAGTATATGTCCACGTTCCTTATCCCCACCGCAGCCAAAGCGTGGCAACACGGCACCATTAGCACATCAAATACCCTGCAAGTACATGTCTTCTTCTGTAGATCCACCGTGAAAACGATCCCAAAACCGTCGTTCACTTGATAAATCCATTCACTTGCTGCTATGACAGCACAATCAGTAGCTTCTTTAAGATGATCTATTAGCATTTCCTCGATTTCTGGCGTACATCTTGTCCGAGTTCTTGTTGCAACTTCTCTTCTTTCGCAAAACCAACGCATTAACATTGTCCTTATGAATTCCACCATCGTCACTATGGGGAAATCTATGGCTTTTTGCATTGCAGCATTTAGGGACTCCGAGATGTTGCTGCTCATCACATTGTATCGCATGCCCGGGAAGTAAGCAAGTGTCCAATGAGAAATCCCTATCTCTACCAAATAATTGGCACACTCAATGTTTCGTCTCTGTATTTCTTCAAACCAATATCGTAAATCTCCCACAGTGTAAGATCTAGCCGCATTGGAGACCATTTTTGCAAGCCCCTCACACTTGAAATGGTGGACAACGTTCCTAAACAAATGAACAGTGCAGCAAGCATGTTTTGCGAGCGGGTACACCGTCCTTAGTCCAGCATAAATGGCTGCATGTCTATCAGAGACGAAGACAAGATCTTCCTCATCGGGGACAATCTGCAAAAGTTGTTCGAAAAACCACGTCCACCCTGCGATGTTCTCACTGTCAATAAAACCAAATGCTAATGGGAATATTTGGTAGTTTCCGTCTTGTCCACTCGCAGCAACCAAACAGCTTTTGTATTTTCCTTTCGTCTGTGTTCCATCTATCACTATTACTTTCCTCAGATACTTATACCCAGCAATTGAAGCCCCAAACGCAAAAAAAAGATATTTGAACCGAATATCCCCCTCCTCAGTGTAATCCGTATGGACTGTGGACAACGTACCTGGATTTGTTGTCCTCAACAGATGCAGGTATGTCTGCAAGAACTTATAGCTGTCTTCCTCACTACCACGAGCTCTTTTCATTGCCATCTCTTTCGCGTGCCAAGCTTTCATGTATGATATCGTTACGTTTAGCTCGGCCAATACTATCTCTGGTAGTTCACAAGCCCTCGGTCCCTTCTTCCCATGCGCATATTTTGCTTTTAGCAAATCACCTAGAATCGATTGTGTTGCTTTCATCCCGTACTTAGACCGCGATTTCACATCACAACTATGTTTCAGAGTTGCTGTTCGAATTTCCACATTCTCTGAGTTCTCGTGAAACGTTGCATATATCCTCCAGTGACATTTGGAATCATGGCATATCGCAATTACCCGCATTTTGTCTGAAGCTTTTATTCGGAAATTGAATAGCCTTTTAATAGAGTACACACACAACGCCCTATGCAACTCGGCTTTGTTCTTGAATATCCTTCCAATATATATTGAATCGCCCGCCTTCCTAAGATTCATGTTTGCTGTGTCTTGAGCAACTCCTTTTGCGTTGTCCTTGAATGGTGCGGCATCTCTAATCATCTCAAGATCGTCCCCCACTAGTTCAGTAAACATGTTTTCCCCCAATGTAAGTTGCGAACTTGTTTGCCCCATTTGGAATGACATTTCTGCACTTTCCTCTTCACCACTACAACCCATGACCTCCTCCTCTAAATTTCCTTCTCGTTCTCCCTCAACAAAAGCTGAAGCATCTGGTCTTCCTTCCAGAAGCATCTGATTTCGTCCAGTCGTGTCCCATGTGGTCCTGCCATAGTCAGTATTAAACGTTTCTGTCCTTTGCGAACTTGTCTCTCTATCTCTCCTTATTCTCTGGCCCATTTCGGGTGACATCTCTGGACTATCCTCTCCAGCCCTACCACCCAAGCCCTCCTCTGTATTTCCTTGTCCTTCTACGTCATCAAAAGCTGAAGCATCTTCTCTTCTTGGCAACGCTGTAACCGAAACGTCCACTAGCCCTAACGCAGTCTGAGTTCGTCCACTGCCTGTATTCCTTCTCCCACAACTACTTTCCCAAGAAGGAATTAAACTATCCGACGTTTCTGTCCCCTGCGTATTTGCCCCTATTTGCCTCATTCTTATTTGCCCCATTTGGATTGACATTTCTACACTTCCCGCCCCAGCACTACAACCTGGTGTTCCCCTTTCTCTTCCGCCCATCTCAGCAACCTCAACTTCAACTAGCTGGGGCCCCGATTCTCCACTCATTAAATATTCGCCCTGGTCCTCCACCGCATTGTCATCCACCTGTCCCCACACTCTTGCGTCTTCAGTCGTTATAGTTTTCTCCTTCGAAGTCTTCCAAGGATCCCAATCCGGCGGGTACTCTGTTTCTATCAACTTACTCATGGCGTCAAAGTCATAGTCTCCGGAATCTTCTGAGTCGGATTCCCATCTCCCGCCATCGCTACCCGTATCCAATTCTCCAACTAGTTCCTCTTCTCGGCGCTTCTTTGCATTTTCCTTGTCAAGCGAAGCTTTCTTCCTCTTAAAAGACTCTTCAAACTCATATATGTCAGCCAAAAATTCCTCTTCCTCAAAAGTAACTGGGATAAACTGTGTGCTTTCACCTGCACCTATGCACTCTCTTTCCATGTCACCCGCCCCCACCTCTGTGTTGTCCCCGTCAGCATTCGAATCTGGTCCGCTGATTGCGTGTTGTCCCCCGGTGTTTGCACACTCTCCATCGTCTTCTACTAAAGTTAGATACATGTTCATACCTCCTTTATCTACCCTTATCTTTTTGAACTTCGACAATGAACTCTCGCTATCAACAGAGACAGGCGGCATCTTTTGTTGCGTGAAGACAGTGTCTCCTCCTTCGAACCAAAAACTCAGCTCCAATTTTGTCCTTTTCCTGTCTACTCCAAATGCTGTAGCAATTTTCTGTTCAACATCACTAATTGTGTCTCCTTCTCCTACATCTACACACTTTGCATATTTCTTTGCTGACATCTTGAATCGCCACTCACCACTTTCTTTGCATTCCCAGGATCCGACCAATATCATTACTCCTTCGTCCATTGAAACCTGTCGTCCTCCATTAAATACACCAAATTAGTATGATAGTTGGATGCATTTATCACAAACAAACAATCCTAACCGTTTTTCGAAGGACTACAATTAAATTCATAAATTTACCTTCAAAAGCTTTTACTGTCCCTGCTTCTACCCCAACTTCAATTTCGTCCAACATATGGGTTTTATCCCCAGAATTCCAGTTTATCCAGATCTACACACAACCCTCTTTTACATGATGTATTAGTAGAGCAATTATGGCCTAACCCTACTCTATTAACATAATATTAAAATTCATCCCGTACGCAATTGTAACCGTGCAGCATTAAATGCACCCTGCTCCCTCTTTACCCGCGACGCCTCACCCTGTCCCTTTCCCTGCCACTCTCTTCAGTCTGCATCAGGGGTAATTTGGTCCGGATCTATGCGTGTGGTATACATTTGGAAAGGAGTTGGGAAATGTGGTACATTTGGAATGCCACATTCCAAAATGTGGTACATTCAGTCAAATTCCCTATTCAAAACGTGTATAATTTTAATGACTTCTTAATTATCTTGAAACCCATTAACATTTGTTTCTTTACGAGGCCTTTTTAACATTTCACAAAATTGGCCCATATTGAAATTAAACCAAAACTTCAGCCCAAACCCCAATAATCATCTTTAGTGCAGCTTCTATGACTATCACATACAACTGGAGCCCACTAATTTCCACGTGGCACAATGTGAGGCTTCAATTTCGGCAAGAAGTGTGTGATCTTTTTTTTACTCGTAAACTCGATCTTAATTTTCGCGCTTTCCTGATAGATCCTCTTGGGACAATAAAACCATTAAAATAGCAGAGTTAAATTTTATAAAATCATAGCCAAAAATTGCATACATCGGAAAACTGTTGCAAATTATGAGCCAAAAATTTCAAATTGTTTTTGTTTTGCTTTTGGACAAAAAAAGAAAATGTTTAAGGAATAAAACTAAAATTGATTCGGTTTCCTAAAAGATCCAAAATTTGAAGGAAAAAAAAATTGTTTGCCAACAAAGAATAAAGGTTTTAAGTGTACTCTGTGGTTTAACTTTAAAGTTTTGGAAGCATGTCGGCGAAGCTCGAAGGAGATTCTTTACGTAGTAGATAGGCCACCGGTGGTTTCAATCTTCCCCAAACAACCAGACGAAATCGAACATATATCTCTAACAATCGAAGAAACCCTCACTCTTCAATCCATCAATGGCGTCTCTTCAGATCAGTGGCTCCGTTAAATTCGAGCCGCTCGTTGGATTCAACCGGATCCGCTATTTTCGTCCGATCGGCAGTCTCGGATTCCCTCGTTTTCGCCGGAGATTCAGTATCGGACGCCCATTGTTGCTTCGCAGTTTTTCTTCCTTCTCCGGCGATAAAATCGGTGAGTCTGATGGTGATGAAAAAGG